CATTAATTAATAATTATGCAATAAGCATCAACTAACAGTCCATACCTTCGCGGCATTCCAACAGTATCACTAGCTCTTCATACCTGCAATAAATCAAAATATAATCTTTGTTTACGGGGACAAAATGTTGATACTTAAGCAATTGAAGAAATTGAAAAGGGGCACATTGATTGACATACCTTCCAACTTGACGCAACTAGTAATTATTCAGTTTTAAGGTTTCTTCACAATAACGTCCTGAATATGTGCTATCTTGTGCCAATCTTCTCTGTTTCCTTCTCACATCGCTTCACCAGTTCAGGGCATTCCAAAATGACCAATTTTTGTAGATTGGTGAGGCTCTGGATGCTGGCTGGAAGAGATGACAACTTTGGGCATTCAGAAATATGCAAAGACTGAAGAGATGTTAGGTTTCCCAGCTAGTGAGGCAATGACGCTAGTTCAGGGTATCGACATATGGTCAATGTTTGCAATGCAGGGACATACCTTAAGGACTCAGGCAAGACTGTCAACGTTGGACAATTTTCAAGGAAAAACAAGTTATAATTCTCATTGATTTTTCTGTCACCAAAAAATCCTGCGGGTTTGCCACATATGGTCAACTCCCGGAGGGAACCAAGGTATTTGATACCATTCGGAAAAGTCACCAGCTCTGGGCAGCCATTAAGCCTCAAGCTTTCAAGGGCGGAGAGATGTTGTAACCCTTGAGAAAAATTTGAAAACTTTATGCACATTTCTAAAGTCAAATGCTGAAGAGAGTTTAGGCTTTCCAGTACTTGCTCCAGAAAAGCCTTAAGCTCAGGGCAATGAAAAATATATAACGATTTAAGACCACTAAGACTAACTAGATCTGTGTCAAACCCTTTAAGCTTTTCAAAATTTCGAATATACATTTTGCGAAGGGAGGAGAGATTTTGAAGAATCCCATGAGGAAGGTAAACTAAATTGCGAATTCTATCAACATATATGTAAATAAGGCTTCTGAAATGTGAGATTGATTTTAAAAGTTCCCCATTACAAGAACGAATCCGTAAACTTTTTGCTGAAGGAAGACATGGTAGTGTTAATTTAGGACAGTCGTAAATTTCTAGCTTCATAAGACATGAGAATAACTAGCTTCTATCATGTCTTGACAACCTCTGCAATCTCAGCAATTTATGAATATAGAGTTCCTCCAAAGACGGAAACTTTCTCATCATTTTATCGCATTGGAAACTAGGGTCAAAATACTTCAGGTGAATCAAATTCATAATTGAAAGATATCAAATTGCCACAAGAGAGGAAGTTGTCGACAATTCTCGTAGTGAGAGAGCGTGATAGAAACAACATTACTCAAAATTTGATAATCCATCCAAACTGGAAATTTGGCACTTTTATAACCTTCAATCATCAAAATTTCAAGGTTTGGGTGAGGCTGGAGGGCTTCAAATACTTTTTCAACCTTTTTCTGGGATTCCAATTCACTATCAAGTTCCCAAGATAGTTCCAAGCGGCGTAGGTTCGGTTTTTCAACCAAATTGGCTTATTGGGCATCCATTAGATTGCCCACTCTATTAAGATGCGTGACACGTACTTCTTCTCCAAGATTTAAATCTTTCAATTCAGCCATGGGACAACCTGTCATCCTACCCACAATGAAGAGAGTTAAAGTTTTTAAGCAAGTGATCTGTCCAATATCTAGAGGCATTTGAGATAAGTCGTAACAGTTATTCAGATAAAGATGTCGAAGATTTTTCAAGGATCACATGTGCTTAGGTAGCTTCCGAAGTTTAAAACAATTTTTTAGATTCAAAGTCTGCAAATTAAGCAAGCTGCAAAGTGATTAGAAAGTTGTTTGATATAGCTGTGAGAAAGGTCCAGGTATCTTCGATGCTTTAAATGCCGAATTGAAGATGACAACGACACTCCAATTGCAGGCATACGGAGAACTCTCAATGAGATTAATCTCGAGATGTCACAAGAAAATCCCGAGGCTGGAGCCATGATTAATGTCCTTAAGGTTTCAACTCCATACAAAGCTTCAAAACTTGTACATGAAGATTGCAACAAGTCAAGATTTATTCTTGCATGAAAAGTGCCTTTTGAGAAATTATTTGAACCTTTGGCCTCCATAAAAACAAATTCATCCTTCACAATAACTTGTGCAAGATCATGCATTTTAAATAATAAATTATTCCCAAAATCGTCTTTTTTTGCATCTTGGAAAAAGGATCGTCAATATAGTTCATTGCATATCTCAATGCCAATATCTTCTGGCTCAAAATTTTGACTGCCCTGAATAAAGCCACTGGCAATCCAAAGATGAATCAACTTCTGTCTCTCAATTTCAGAATCCTTTGGGAAGACAGCACAAAAGGCAAAACATCTTTTTATTTTTGATGGCAAATGGGAGTAACTCAATCTTAAGGCTGGTAAGATGGAATTTTTATCTTGTGGCAAATTCCAGAGCTCCCTTTCCCCTTGATAGAAAGCCACTCATTTTCCTCACTTTTCCAACGCATCAAGCTTCCAAGAGACTTCACAGCCAGAGGCACACCGCTACACTTCTTCACTATCTTTTCCCTATTGCAACAAGGTTTGGACGTTCTTCTTTCTCTTGTCCAAATGCCCTTTTTAAACAACAACGAGCATTCATCTTCTGATAATCTTGACAAATGATGCATGGGAACGTTCCCATAATGGATGCAACCTTTCTACTTCGAGCTGTGACATAATCGAAGCACCTTTCAATCCACATGCCAACACACACTTTAATCTATCCCATTTCTCTTCATCTTCACTCCATACATCATTTAGCTCAGGCAAATACCTTTTCCTGTTCAATATACTTTGAAGGCGTCTCTGCAAAGGTCTAACTCTAGATCTTCACAAACAGTTCCTGTTCATATCTACTTGAAGGCTTTTATGATCTTCTTCACACTGAAATCCTCTGAAATGCAAACCCAAATTCTCAGCTCAAAGTGCATGCTCACTCTCTCATCATTGTAGACCACCTGAGCAAGATGTCTTCCCAACCCCCCACTACTAACAACAGGGTAGACAGAAATGTCATCAAAACAGCTGTTGAGATCCCATATCTACTAGGCACGCTCAAACTAATGAGTTTTAAGAGTGGGTAATCCTCTTACTCAATAAGGCATTTTGGGTGAGAGTTAGGCCCAACTCCACAAGTGGATCAGAGCCAACCCCATTTGAGTTGAGATTGACCAACGTGGTTTGTCAATTACCTCCATTCATAGACAAGTGGACCATATTGGGCTTGACTGTAAGAGAGTGTGGAGATTCCATATTGACTTAGCACGCTCAAGCAAATGGTTTTAAAGTGGGCAATTCCCTATTCAATAAAGCCATTAGGTGAGGAGTTACCCCACTCCAACACAACTACATGATTAACTAAATTTTCAACGTTATTTCTTTATCTTTACTCTACCATACCTTATTGAGATGTGTAATGATTCAGTTGCTGCATTCTCTCGCTTCATCGATTCCCCTTCTGTGAAACTGCCTCAGTCAAATGAAACTTGTCCTCTCCTCTGCAATTTCATCTAACCTCTCGCTAATCTCTCTCATCCTAATGCCAATCTTGCGACAAAATAAAATAGTATCTGGACGAAGGTCATTTAAAAGAGGAGTGTTTACCTTGTTGATACACCCACAATTTTGTCTTTAGACTCTAATCGAGAGATCTCTGTTGCACAATCATCCAGATGTCATCTACCTTATAAGCTGCTTCTTTAGCTTCTGCAGCCAATTCTGAAGCACCTTGTCTTGCGCTTCCTTCTCCTCAGCATCTTCCGCACAGCTTGAGTAGTTGAGAGCAAGCTGGAAAGTTTTTTCATGTCTTTGTCAACACCCATAGCAACCCAAACTCCTTTCGGATGAGTGAGTTCAAATTCTCCCGCAAAACTTGAATAATGTTGGAGTTGTTGCTACTTCAGCATTATGGGTAACGGAGGCGCACTCGGGAGTCCTTTTTGGATTGGGCTTAGGAATAGAATCCTTGTAAAACTAGGTTTAATCTCTTAAACCTAGTATATAATCATACTTTTCTCTTGTTATGTGTGTGAGAGCAATTCATTCATTGTAAACGAGAGAAATGAGGCATATTGCAATATTGACTCAGCTGGACGTAGCATACATTGGGTGAACCAGGGAAATCGCGCGTATTATTTTCTTTGTTTACTGTTTGATTTGTTTTAATATATATTTTGTTCCTGTTGTTGTCTCTATTTCGTTCAATAAAAGGGTCATCCTTGCAATTGCAAGTTTGAGAATCCATGCACTGAGAAAAATTTGTTATGGAAGGAGATAGATGTGGCCTGAGTAAATGGAATTGGAAGACTTGCATGTAGCCTGAAATCAATATTGTAAGGAAGAATTTATGGCAGAAAACCTGACTCGGAAATTTGAGTCATGTGCTGGCCAGTTAAGAAAAGAACAGATTACCAACTAATCTAAGAAGGGCAAGTATTTGTTACTTTTACTTTTAGCTGCTTCTCCTCTGTATCTTCAAGCACAACCTGAATAGTTAGACCAAGCCAAAAAGTTTCTTCATTCTTTTGTCAACACCCCAAAGCAACCCAACTTTCTTTAGAATGAGTGAGTTAATTCTCCTGAAAAATTTGAACAGAAGCCCGTTTGAAATGCAAGTTCAAAATTCCAAAGCTCAAGAGAGAAATTGTGATTGCAAGTACTAGCAAATAATATAAACGTTGTGGTGCGATTGACTTGAAGTCGTGATTGAAAATTTGACCGCGTTTCATAGTAGATTGATATACCTGTGAAAATTACAGCAGTATGCTGATAAAAACACACTATGGACAAGCAACAGTTTTTCTCTTACTCTTTAGCTAGGTTTCAAGAATTGATTGCATTGACAGAATCAAATCAAATCATTCAACATCAAACCATGTCGTTTTACATTATTCCATATCTACAAAAGAGAATCACAGAATAATGTGTAAACATTAAAAAAAAAAAAACAAAAAAAAAAAGTCTTTGGTATACACCACATAAGGACGAGCAGAACACATTTATTTACAATACAAAGATATTCATAACATAACTGCTACCTCAATATATACATTACAATCCTCATTAAAACAAAAAACCAAAAAAAAAAAATAATACGTTGTTACATGAAATTTCCGCCTTGGCTGGCGTAATGTTGGAATTAACTGCCCACAAACACCTGAGTGGCTGTGATAGAGCGGCCCTAGCTCATCATGTCTGCAACGGATCCAAATATAATGTTTATAGTGAGAACAAAATTTTGAACTTATGATAAGCATAAGAAGAAAGCTTGGAAAGGCCCAATACCTATCAGCTTAATGCAACAATTAGTCTTTTATGTTTCCGTTTACCGCAGGGGTTCCACGTCTATGTTTGGAACATGTGCTATCTTGTACCAGTCATCCCCTCCCCTGTTTCCTTCTCGCATTGCTTCACCAGTTCAGGGCATTCTGAAATGCCCAAGTTTTGTAGATTGGTGAAGCTCTGAAAACTTGCTGGAAGAGATGGCAACTTTGGGCAATCAAATATTCGCAAAGACCGAAGAGATGTAAGGTCTCCCAACCAGTGAGGCAATGATGCTAGATTAGGGTAGAAGCTTATGCTCAATTCTTTCAGTGCCAGGGCATGTCGTAAGGACTCAGGCAAGGCAACCAATTTAGGACGAAAATCAGATTCTTCAGGACTGTCCTTCATAACTATCAACCTATGAAAACCAGGATTTCTTGGGCTATAACGGGCATCAAAACCTGTGAATTTACCAGATATGGTTAGGTGCTGGAGCAAACTAAGGTATTTAATACCATCTGGCAAAGCCACCAGCTCTGGGCAGCCATTAAGATTCAGCCTCTCAAGGTAGAAGAGGCGTCCTAACCCCTCTGAAAAAGATGAAAACCTTCTGCAGTTGATTAAATCCAAATGCTGAAGACAGTTGAGGCCTTCCAGTCCTTGCTCCGGAAAAGACTCAAGCTCATGGCATGTCCTAATACACAATGTTCTAACAGCACCAAGGCTGACTAGTTCTGTGGGAAAACTCTTAAGCTTGCTGAAATTTTCAATGGCCAGTGACTGAAGAGAGGTGAAGTTTTGCAGCATCCCCTGTGGAACTCATTGTTAATGTGTAAAGAAAGGTACGTAAGGCTTCTGAGACTGAAGATTGATTTTAGGAACACCTCACTACAGCCCCTCACTTTCAAGTCTTTCACTGAAGGAAGACATGGCAAGCTCAACTTTGGGCAGTTGGTTATACTTAAAGCGGGTAAGACATGGGAGTAGCTCTCTTCCATCCTCTCTTGATAACCTTTGCAAACTCGGCAAATCTCTAAGATCGAGGTTCTTCAAACATGGGAATCTTCTCATCATTACACCATCTTGAAGACTATGGTCAATGTACAACACATGAGTCATCCCAATTATTGTAAGATATCGAAGGCATGGAAGTTGCCCTAAGAGTGGAAGTTGGCAACAGTTCCTACATCTTGTAAGGTTGATAGAAACAACATTTCTAAGAATTAGCTCTCTCATCCAGAGTGAAAATTTTGTGCCTTTGTAATCCTCTATGACTAAAATTTCAAGGTGTGGGTTAGGCTCAAGGGTTTCAAGAACCCTTTCAGCATTTTCCTGCTGTTCAATCTCATTATCAAGTTCCCAAGACAAGTACAAGCTGTGGAGACTTTGCTTTCCAGACAAATTTGCTTCTTTGGCATGCATTGGATTGCTCACTCTGTCAAGATGTTTAATATGTAGCTGTCCTAGGAGATTTAGTCCTTTCAGTTCAGCTATGAGAGAACCTTTTGTCTTACCCACAATGAAAAGAGTTAAAGTCTTTAAGGCAAGTGATTTGCCCAATTTTTGGCGGCATATGACATAATGAGACACAATTACTTAGGTAAAAATGTCGAAGATTTTTCAGTCGTCTCATGTGTTTAGGTAGTTCCTGAAGAAACACACAGCTTTCCAGCTTCAAAGTCTGCAAATTAAGCAAGCCACAGATTGATCTAGGAAGCATTTGCATACAGGTTGAAGAAAGGTCCAGATATTCTCATGACCTGCAGGCAAAGATGACAAAGTAAAATCAGGGACTCTTAAGACCATCACTTCAGCCTTTATCTAGCCAAGAAAAAAGTAAAACCTAAGGGTTCAGAAGTATCTTCTACATACCTAAAATAAAAATGCATTTACGCATAGAGGAATACAAGTCCCAGGTCCATTGCAAAGAACCTAGATGGAAAGGAATTTGATAATCAGTGATTATAAGATTTAAGAAAATGCTTAAGTAACATTGCAATAACTACAACAGAACACAAGAGGTAAAAGGTCAAAGCTAATACCACTTGTGGTCTGATTCTAATCATTAGCCACAGTGCATGAGCAATAGCAAGTAAAGTTGTCCAAACAGAGCTTATATATGATTGACCAACTTCCCTGCTTCTGTAGATCTGCATGAACTGTGCAGAGGATCCCTTGACTACATTCTGAAGATAAACAAAAGCCAATTAAATGAAAAAGACTTAAATTAGTAAATGCATGATTTGGAAGAAAAGACAAGCAATACCATAATCAGGTGCAATACATGTGATGCAACTTTTAAGTGAAATGAATGGCATTTATGTATCCATTTAACATCATCCAGATAACAGAAAAAAAATTCTCTTGATTCCACCATTCACATGTTAATTTACACATTACACAATAGAAGTTCGTAATATCATGCATCCAAAAAAGGCAGAGTGTGATCAACTTGATGACTGATATCAGTTATTTTGCATATACAGTATATGTAAATAGAGAGCAACACATAAAGAGAACTTCTAAACGACCACCTATATAACAGATGGTATACAATGTTTCAAGGAGTTCCATACCAAAGCTTTGAGTCACTAACTTGGAACTTTTGTTTTCCTTCAGAAATCCCCTAAAACCAGTAAGCAAACTCACTTTAAATCAGTCCCCACAAACTCAATCTAAAAATTCTATTCGGACTACTCCCTAACCAATTTAGGGGTTCTAGCATCATGCTAAATCATTTGTTTTCTGATGAGCCACTTGGGAGGTTGGTCTACAGTAGGAAGCGTAGAGGTGAGAAGTAGAGGAATATTTGTTATACATGAGTGTTAGGAGTTGTTTTTGGGAGGACAGGTGGCTTAATGAGATTGGAAGGATGAAGAATTTGGTTATGAGCAAAAGGTGTCAGGGAATAAAAGTGACGGACAGAGGGAATTGAGGGATATTCAGAAGGAAGGTTAAGGTTTAGAAGGGGAGGTGACTGACCCTCGAAGTTCAGTCTTTATCTTTGTTTTTGCTGAACTTAGAATTGTTCCATTTTGCTGCTAGATTGCTGGGTAGATGATAGAACATGATCTTCTGGATGTACTGTTCTGTTTTAACATCAATATAGAGTTTATTTCCTTTTCTTTTTTGTGCTTATTGATTGTTTGAACTGGTATTGGATAGAGTTGTTTGTGTGTATCTTGGCGGTTTAACAGGTCAGTGTTCTATCATTTTCCTTAACTCCTGCCGTATTCAAGATTCAGTCCATAGATCTTGCCCGAATGGTTGTGAGTCTGCTGTTTTCATCACTGTGAGGCACATAGAGTGCATCACTCCTTTACCTACTATACTTTAATTTTTAAAACGCATTACTTCAGCTTGACTGATTAACGGATCAATAATTAATAAGTTAAAAGTATTTACTTAACACCTACAAAACTAACAGTAACTTAAAATATAACGATCAGACATTCTCAAAGCTTCTAAATATCGAAAATTTGATATGGACAAAAAAATCAAATTTGCAATTATGGGAGTAAAAACGCACAATTTAATAACAGAATATACCTTATGAACCAAAGAATCCTCGAAAACGCGAGACTTTTGAAGACTCATATTATCAGTGGCAGCAGCAATGTAAAAGCGCGGTGCAAACCTGTCCATTTGCAGTACCGATAAGAGATTCATCATCTCCGCCGTGTGTCCGCCTTCACAAATTCAATTGACAATAGAATCTGATGAATTATAATAATAAAAAGAACAGCAATTTGATTGGATTTTAATTATATGAAATGGACTCACCTGAAACTAAAACAACGGGCGTCGAGAGTGGCTGTGAGGATTTGGTGCGGCTAGGTTTTCCCGTTAAATAAAGAACGTAAAGAAGACGAATTGTGAAAATTGTAACGCTAATGGCAACGAATGCCATTATGGACCAGCAACAGTCGTTCAGTTTCTCCATCGCCGGAATTTAAAATTTACATGCGTGTTTACTCTGCAGAAATTGGCGCGAATTCGATTTCTCCGATGAAGGGAAAACTGGAGAAATTACTGTAAACAGTATGATTGAAAAAGAGCAAATATGAGCAGTGACCGTGATGGAAGCTCTGTCTGTCACCGTCACGATAGCTACCATTCTAGTAATTTTGATTAGCTTTCTTTTCACTCGGAACGTCGGAATATGCAAGTCTAGTTTCTGACGGAAGGCTCCAAACGAAGATTAAATATAATTATACATGGATCATGAATAGTCCGCAATGCTGGACTGTCGACGAACTGGAATCTTCTTGAGAAGCCCAGCCCATTAATGAATTTGATATTGCAAATAAGACCTTGTTCAATTGTTTAGGAAGAAAAGGGCCGGTCATTTTCAATTAAGTAATATTACATCGATAACCTTTTTTTCATAAATTTTATCTTATAACCTTAACATAACAGTTCATAATTAATTTTTTGACAGAATAGTTCATAATTAGTTAACTGTAATTTATCATGTGAATCCTATTATAAACTGTCATGTCAAGGTTATGAGAGAAAATTTGTAAAAAGATATTGTAAATAGTTTAAAAATCTAAAGCTTCGAGAAAGATTTGCAAAGGATATGCATGTGTGGAGTTCATCCAAAGTCAATAAATTTGATTTTTTTTTTAAATTATAAAATTTAAATTTATATCCTTTTCTTTATATAAGAATCTGCAAAACTTTTTCAGTATACTATTAAAATTGATTTCATATTGTAATTAAAAACCACTAAATATTTGCTTACAACATTTGATCAAAATATATAACATTATTTTTTAGATTCCAAAAATATTTTAAGATTTATTTTTTTTAAAAAAAAAATTAGCACTTTTTTACTGAAAATTTTTAAATTACATGGAAATAGTTGAGAAAGTTTTAAGAAAAAATAATTAATAAATCCTTTTAAAAATATATGTATTTAAATATATTTCCCTCCCAAAAAAATATTTACTCCATAATGCATTTTATTAAAAAAAAAAAAAAAAAGAAAAAAATCCTAAAATCATTGTAGATAATCTACAATTAATTGCATTCTAATTTAATTTAAGTTGACCCAAAGGTTCAAGTCTTTGAGGCTTGAAACTGTCACCTTCTTCAATTGTTAAATTTAATTGCAAATTTAAATAAATCTTCCTTCCAAGCAAACCAGTTGAATTCCATAAGAATTTAGATACAAATGAATATGAAAAACCAGTATGTGGCAATTTGGTATAGTTCTCTCCATACAAGGAGAAAAGCATAACCAAAATGAAATTGATCACAGAGCCTTTTCATGGTTTTTGGTTATATACTTAAGCAAAAACATGTGCATACAGATAATATTACATGAAAGTTTCACATTAATTAATAATTATGCAATAAGCATCAACTAACAGTTCATACCTTCACGGCATTCCTGCAATATCACTAGTTCTTCATACCTGCAACAAATCAAAATATAATCTATGTTTATGGGGGCAAAATATTAAGCAATTGAAGAAATTGAAAAGGGACACCTTGATTGACATACCGCCCAACTTGATGCAACTAGTAATTATTCAGTGTAACTTCACAATAATGTTCCCAACATGTGCTATCTTGTACCAATCTTCTCCTGTTTCCTTCTCACATCGCTTCACCAGTTCAGGGCATTTGGATATGAGCAAATTTTGTAGATTGGTCAAGCTCTGGATGCTGGCTGGAAGAGATGACAACTTTGGGCATTTATAAATATTCAAAGACTCAAGAGATGTTAGGTCTCCTAGCCAGTGAGGCAATGATGCTAGTTCAGGGTACCGGCATATGCTCAATTTTTGCAGTGCAGGGACATACCTCATGGACTCAGGCAACACTGTCAACTTTGGACAATTAATATGTTCTTTGCCACATTCTGTTGAAAAGACCAAGTCACAAATCTTATTCATATTTCTGCCACCAGAAAATGCTGCGGGTTCGCCACACATTGTCAACTCACGGAGGGAACTAAGGTATTTGACACTATTCGGAAAAGTCACCAACTCAGGGCAACCATTAAGTGTCAAGCTTTCAAGGGCAGAGAGATGTCGTAACCCCTCTGACAAATTTGAGAACTTTATGCACATTTCTAAAGTCAAATGCTGAAGAGAGTATAGGCCTTCCAGTATTTGCTCCGAAAAAGCCTCAAGCTCAGGGCATTGAGAAATTGTTAACGATTTAAGACCACTGAGGCTAGCTCGATCTGTGGCAAACACTTTAAGCTTTTTGAAACTTCTAATAGACATTTCGCGAAGAGAGGAGAAATTTTGCAGAATCCCATGAGGAAGGTAAACTAAATCGTAATTTGTTTCAAGATGTAGGTGAGTAAGGGTTCTGAAATGTGAGATTGATTTTAGAAGTTCCCCATTGCAAGAATGAATCCGTAAACTTTTTGCCGAAGGAAGGCATGACAGGGTTAATTCAGGACAATCGTAAATTTTTAGCTTCGTAAGACATGGGAATAACTCGCTTCCATCCTGTCTTGACAACCTCTGTAACCTCGGCAATCCATCAATACAGAGTTCCTCCAAAGACGGGAATTTTCTCTCGCCTTGGAAACTTGCAACAATGTACTCCAGGTTAATCAAATTTATAATTTCAAGATATCGAAGCCAAGGAAGTTGCCACAAGGGAGGAAGTTGTCGACAATTCTCACAGTCAGAGAGCGTGATAGAAAAAACATTACTCAAAATTTGATAATCCATCCAAACTGGAAATTTGGCACCTTTATAACCTTCAATTTTCAAAATTTCAAGGTTTGAGTGAGGATAAAAAATTTCAAATACTTTTTCAACCTTTTCCTGAGATTCCGATTCACTATCAAGTTCCCAAGATAATTCCAGGTGGCGTAGATTCGGTTTTTCGACCAAATTGGCTTCTTGGGCATCCATCAGATTGCCCACTCTATTAAGATGCGTGACACGTAATTCTTCTCCAAGATTTAAACCTTTCAATTCAGCCAAGTGGCAACCTCTCCTCTCACCCACGATGAAGAGAGTTAAAGTTTTTAAGCAAGTGATTTGTCCAATATGTGGAGGCATTTGAGATAAATTGTAACAATCATTCAGATAAAGATGTCGAAGATTTTTCAAGCATCTCATGCGCTTAGGTAGCTTCCGAAGTTTATAACAATGTTTCAGATTCAAAGTCTGCAAATTAAGCAAGCTACAAAGTGATTCGGGAAGCAATTGGATAGAGGTGCAAGAAAAGTCTAGGTACCTTAGATGCTTTAAATAGCGAATTGAAGATGACAACGACATTCCAATGTTAGGCACACAGAGAACTCTCAACGAGATTAATCTTGAGATGTCACAAAAAGATCCCCAGACATTACCTGTACGAAAATCTGGAGCCATGATTATTGTCCTTAAGGTTTCAACTCCATACAAAGCTTCAGAACCTTTATATGATGATTGGCTCAAATCAACATCTATTCTGACATGAAGAATGCTTTTTGAGATATTATTTGAACCTTTGGCCTCCATTACAGCAAATTCATCTTTCACAATAAATTGTGCTAGATCATGAACAAGATCATGCATTTTAAATAATAAATTATTCCCAAACTTATCTTTTTTTGCATCTTGAAAAACGGATCGCCAATATAGTTCATTGCATATCTCAATGCCAACATCTTCAGGCTCAAAATTTTGACTGCCCTGAATAAAGCCATTGGCCATCCAAAGATGAATCAACTTTTGTCTCTCAATTTCAGAATCCTTTGGGAAGACAGCACAAAAGGCAAAACATCTTTTTATTTCCGATGGTAAATGGGAGTAACTCAATCTTAAGGCTGGTAAGATGGAATTTTTATCTTGTGGCAAATTCCAGAGCTCACTTTCCTTGATACAAAGCCACTCATTTTCCTCACTTTTATAACGCATCAAGCTTCCAAGAGACTTCACGGCCAGAGGCACACCGCTACACTTCTTCACTATCTCTTTCCCTATTGCAACAAGGTTTGGACGTTCTTCTTTCTCTTGTCCAAATGCCCGTTCTTTAAACAACAACCAGCATTCATCTTCTGATAATCCTGACAAATGATGCATGGGAAGCGTTCCCATAATGGATGCAACCTTTCTGCTTCGAGTAGTGACAATAATCGAAGCACCTTTCGATCTACATGCCAACACACACTTTAATCTATCCCACTTCTCTTCATCTTCACTCCATACATCATCTAGCACAAGCAAATACCTTTTCCTATTCAATATATTTTGAAGGCGTCTCTGCAAAGGGTCTAAGTCCAGATCTTCACAAGCAGTTCCAGTTGCAGATCCAATTATAGCTTTTATGATCTTGTTCACACTGAAATCCTCTGAAATGCAAACCCAAATTCTTAGCTCAAAATGCATGCTTACTCTCTCATCATTGTAGACCACCTGAGCAAGCGTTGTCTTCCCAAGCCCCCCAATACCAACAATAGGGTAGACGGAAATGTCATCACAAGCTACATGATTCACCAAATTTTCAACAATTATTTCTTTATCTTCATCTCTACCATATACGTGAGGTTGAGTAATGATGGAGCCAGTTTGGCGTTTTTCTCTGACTTCAGCTCCCCTCTGTGAAACTACCTCAGTCAAATGAAACTTTGTCCTCTCCTCTGCAATATCATCTAACCTCTCTCTAATCTCTCTCATCCTAATGCCAATCTTGCGACAAAATAAAATAGTATCTGGACGAAGTTTATTTAAGAGAGAAGTGTTTAGCTTGTTGATACACCTTGAATTTTGGTCTTTAGACTCTAATCGAGAGACTTCTGTTGCACAATCATCCAAGATGTCATCTAACTTATAAGCTGCTTCTTTTAGCTTCTGCAGCCAATTCTGAAGCGCCTTGTCTTGCACTTCCTTCTCCTCAGCATCTTCTAGCACAGCTTGAATAGTTGAGAGCAAGCTGGAAAGTTTTTTCATCTCTTTGTTAACACCCCAAAGCAACCCAAACTCCTTTCGGATGAGTGAGTCCAAATTCTCCAGCAAAATTTGAACAAAAGCATCAGCCATTTGCAATTGCAAGTTGGAAAATCCAAAGCTCTGTGAGAGATTTGTTATGGAAAGGGGATAGAGATGGCCTGAGTAGATGAGTAAATGAAATTGGAAGACTTGAAGGTGTTTGGAAGTCAATATTTGTGGGTCCTGACTTGGAAATTGGAGTCATGTGGCATACTGCTAAGAAATTTACAGATGAAGACAAAAGAAATAGAAGGATTTTTGAAAAGTCTAGCTTTCTCTGTCTATGGAAATGCAATTTCTACTCTTAATTTATTACCAGACCAAAAATATGTGTAGAATGATTAAATGATAAGATTGAAACAGTAATGGTGACAACTGCCTTCACTAACTTCGGATTGATGATTGAGGAGAAAAAAGAAACGAAAGCTTCTACAAAAGCTTACTTTATCTGTTATAGCGTGGCCCAATCATACATTCATACTCCCAGTTAGCCGTCCCTAAAGGTGATAAGATTACTGTTAATGGAATTTGATCAGCCATTATAATCAAATACAAGTTCATACTTCACATTATTATTCAATGACTAAAAAAAAAAAGAAACCGAAAATCAAGTAAACACTATGAACACAACCAACAAACAAGTAAAAAAATTGATAAATTTATTACAGATTTATTCAGATTTCACAAAAGCAACACTGAATAACAACTAATCGGTCACACCCAGTATACGGAGTGTGCTTTCACTCTTTTGGTGGATCATTCTTTAAGAATCCATCTATAGTAGAAGGAAACTCCAAGCCACCAAATCCACATTCATCACCATCTAAAGCACAAGCAGCTTTGCCCATAAGCAAATAAGCCAACCTCAAAGGCTCCTCATCTTTGCAACTTCCCAAAAAGTATTTAATGCATCCCTCCAGTCTCTCCACTCCTTCTCACACTTGGGTCCCTTAACTCCAACAGTCTTTTCGTAAAACCCCACCTTCACATTCACAACAATTACCAACACCACCCCTGTCTTCCTCTTTTTCGTTTCTCTCTTCAAAATGATCGGATATTCCCAGAAGCTGCACTAATATTCTAATGTCATCAACATCATTGGATTCGTGATCATCGGTCGTTGTTGGGTTTATCTGCAGAGAGCTTTGTTGGGTTAAAGGTGGAAATTCAGGAGACAAAGATAAAAATGCTTGTGGGGCTTCACTGTTCCCACTTTCTTGGAGAGTTGGGCTGTTGTGGGTTTGGTCTAAATGGAGATATATAGGGGAGCCAAGCAATTCTGTTGATGATTTAAACTTAGTTGCTTTCTTGTAGTGGTGGTGTAGAAGAGGGGTGTTGTGTCTGATGTTCAAGGGTAATTCTTTTCTCAACCTGTCCACAAATTAAAAAATAAATAAATAAATAATAAGGTAGAAAATGAGCGTGCTTGATAGAGAATTAAATTGAGAACTGGAGCACTGGAGATACCTGCTTGACTGAGGAGAAGAAACTGGACTGTATGATAATCAGGGGTGTCACTCTGTTTATGCAAATAAAAATTTACACCATTAAACTGACTCCCCTGTCCTCTTTGGTGAAACCTACAAGAGGCTTTTTGAATCTCACTAGTAACTTGTGTACAACTTAACTTGAGAATCAACTATAGAGCAATTGCAATAACTTTAAAAATTTAGATTGGCACAGCAAAAACCTGAAGAAATGTTGCAGTACCTTGTCAGCAGGAATTCAATCAAACTACATGAGACAGCCAACATAATGAGCTCGAGGATACTTTCTCTGTAATTGTGGCCATTGCACAAAGAACTGATCAGCTATGCGTAACTTTTAAAGAAGCAAGCCACTTAAAGAAAGCCTTTTTACTCAACATAGAAAACAGATGACCATATATTCTCATGACCTGCAGCCAAAGATGACAAAGTAAAATGAGGAACTCTTAACACCATCACTTCAGCCTTTATCTAGCCAAGAAAAAAGTAAAACCTAAGGGTTCAGAAGTATCTTCTACATACCTAAAATAAAAATGCAATTACGCATAGAGGAGTACAAGTCCCAGGTCCATTGCAAAGAACCTAGATAGAGAGCAATTTGATATTGGTGATGATACGATTTAAGGAAATGCTTAAGTAACATTGCAATAACTAAACAGAACACAAGAGGTTAAAGGTCAAAACTAATACCACTTGTGGTCTGATCCTAATAATTAGCCACAGTGCATGAGCAATGGCAAGTAAAGTTGTCCAAACAGAGGTTATATATGATTGACCAACTTCCCTGCTTCTGTATGAACTGTCCAGAGGATCCCTTGACTCCATTCTGAAGATAAACAAATGGCAATTAAATGAAAAGGACTTAAATTAGTAAATGTATGATTTAGAAGAAAAGACAAGCAATACCATTATCAGGTGCAATACATATGATGCAACTTTTAAGTGAAATGAATGGCAGTTATGTATCCAGTTATGGAATTTTCAAGGAAGATGAAGATGGAAATGTATTGATAATTTGCTGGAAATTCAGTTAAAGTTAGTTTGTCTTTAATGAGTTTTTGGTGCCAAATTACTGCAGCATTCCCAATTGTCTGCCGAGATTGAAGTTAAAGTTAGTTTGTCTTGAATGAGTTTTTGGTGCCAAATTACTGCAGCATTCCCACTTGTCTGCCGAGATTGAAGCTGCTGAAGTTGTTGGTTTTGTGACATGATTTGGTGTAATCAACTCAAACTAAGGATGTATTAAGTTGCCAACTATGGTTTTTTAAATTTAAAACTCTGAATGGTTGTTGTAGTTGGTAAAACAGTAAGATTGTTTTGTATATATTTGCAACTTGCAGTGTAATGAAAAAAGGTTGTTCAGTCTTTCCATTTTATCTCCTTATCTTTCTTAGAATTCACAGGCTCTAAACCACAAAATGCAATTTCTACTCTAATTTATTATCAGACTAAAATTATGTTTAGAATGATTTAAGTGATAAGATTTAAACAGTAATGATGCAAATGCCTTCTAATTGATGATCGAGGTTATAAAGAATAAAAGATTGATGATTGAGGAGAAAAAAAGAAATGAAAGCTTCTACAAAAGCTTACTTTTTCTGTGATAGCGTTGCCCAATCATACTCCTAGTTAGCCGCTCCCTAAAGGTGATAAGAATACTGTTAATGGAATTTGATCAGCCATTATAATCAATGAGTTACACATTGTATCAAGTACAAGTTCATACTTCACATTTTTATCACCATCAATTATTCAATGACTGAAAAATAAAAAATAAAAATGAATTAGTTAACAAATAAATCAACTGAAAATCAAGTAAATATTATGAACACCAGCAACAAACAAGTGAAAAAATTGATAAATTTATTCAGATTTCAAAAAAGCAACAATGAATAACAACTAACTAGTCACACTTAGTACAAGTTAATTCCATGAAGTATGAAGTGTGCTTTTACTCTTTGGGTGGATCGTTCTTTAAGAATCCATCTATGGTGGAAGGAAACTCCAAGCCACCAAATCCACATTCATCACCATCTAAAGCAAAAGCAGCTTTGCCCATTAGCAAATAAGCCAACCTCAAAGGCTCCTCACCTTTGCAACTTCCCAAAAAGTACTTAATCCATCCCTCCAGTCTCTCCACTTCCTTCTCACACTTGGGTCCCTTAACTCCAATAATCTTTTCATAAAACCCCCCTTCACATTCACAACAATTACCAACACCACCCCTATCTTCCTCTTTTTCATTTCTCTCTTCAAAATGATCGGATATACCCAGAAGCTGCATTAACATTTTAATGTCATCAACATCATTAGATTCTTGATCATGGGTCGTTGTGGGGTTTATCTGAGGAGGGCTTTGTTGGGTTGAACGTGGAAATTCAGGAGACAAAGATAAAAATGCTTGTGGGGCTTCACTGTTGCCGCTTTCTTGAAGAGTTGAGTTGTTATGGGTTTGGTCAAACTGGAGATATATCGGGGAGCTAAGCGATTCTGTTGATGATGTGAATTTAGAGTCGCTTTCTTGAACTGGTTGTGAAGAGGAGGGGTGTTGTGTCTGTTCTTCAAGTTTCAATCGTTTCTCAACCTGTCCGCAAATGAATTGAAAACAAAAAAGAATTTGATAGAAAATGAGCGTGCTTGAGAGAATTAAATTGAGAACTGGAGCACTGGAGATACCTGCTTGAGTGAGGAGAAGAAACTGGAGTGCCGAGATGGTGGCTGCATTGCTTATGTTTAGGCTAAACCCGATTTNAGCCAATTCTGAAGCGCCTTGTTTTTCGCTTGCTTCTCCTCAGCATCTTCCAGCACAGCTTGAATAGTTGAGAGCAAGCTGGAAAGTTTTTTCATATCTTTGTCAACACCCCACAACAACCCAACCTCCTTTCGGATGAGTGAGTTCAAATTCTCCAGCAAAACTTGAATAAAAGCGTCAGCCATTTGCAATTGCAAGTTTGAAAATCCAATGCTCTGAGAGAGATTTGTTATGGGAAGGAGATAGAGGTGGCCTGAGTAAATGGAATTGGAAGACTTGCATGTAGCTTGAAAGTCAATATTGTAAGGAAGTATTTATGGCAGAAAACCTGACTCGGAATTTGAGTCATGTGCTGGGCCAGTTAAGAAAAGAACAGATTACCAACCAACCTATGAAGGGCAAAGTATTTGCTTACTTTTAGCTGCTTCTCCTCTGCATCTTCAAGCACAACTGAATAGTTGAGATCAAGCCAAAAAGTTTCTCCATTTCTTTGTCAACACCCCAAAGCAACCCAGCTTTCTTTCGATTGAGTGAGTTCAAATTCTCCTGTAAAATTTGAACAGAAGCCCAGTTGAAATGCAAGTTCAAAATTCCCAAGTCCATCTAAAATGAATCTTCATTCTCATTAATTTTTTTTTTTAATATTTGTAAACTAAAATCAAAGTTGAAGATAGTTGTATTATATTTATATACTTGTACTTCTAATGGAGATGTAACTATTAATGTCAATGTCTTAATCCTAATATTTAAGTTTATATTTGTAATTTATAATTAAAACTAATAAAAAATTCAATTAATATTTCAATGTCTTATTATTTTATTATATTTTGTAGTGATTATATATATTTTTTAATTAATACAAATATAAAATGAGAAAAAAAGGAGAATGAAGATTGGAATTGGAGTGTGAAAAAATAAGAGAAATAATGGGGTATTTATAGGAAAATGTTGAAAAAAAAATGTGAAATAGTCGTTATTAACGGCTATTTTTAAAAATATTTTTAGCGGGTCATGCCTTGCCGACCCGCATGATCGTGGGCCTTGTCGTGCCGTGCTTTTTTTCATGCCGACTCAACTCTACTTGCAACTCAAACACAAAAACCCCTTAAGTATAGTTAACCCCAATAACAAAAGGATTTGTCATCCAACCACATGGGGAGAAGTTAACCCTAAATAATATTACTGACCCAGTTTAGAAGTAATGATCCAAACAATGTATATAAAGTCAAATTTTGAAACCTCTCAATAGAGATCACAGGTGTGTTTGCTTTAGTATTTTGGATATTTTTAGAGTTGGGTAGGAATAATGAGGTAGAATTTGAAAATTAACAAAAACACCCCTTAGATTTGTTAATTTCTAAACACTCTTGTAATAAAAACATTAAAAATTATAAAAACACCCCCACCCACCCATTAAATACCGACAGTCGGCCACCACCGCCGAAGGGTGGCCAGAGTCGTTGAATCGGTGCACGACCGATTGCATATGGCCAGTCATGTGCCAAGAAGACCTTTTCTAATCAGATCCACCATGGATCTGGCCGAAAAATATCAGATCTAAGGCCAAATCTGACATTGACGGTCAAATTTGGCCATGTTTAGTTGTCAACGACGACTAAAATATGGCTATCATTGACGACCAGCTACGGCCAAAGATCTGGCCATCAATAGCCAGATCTTTGGTAGTAAATCTGGCATTTTTCGGTAAAATCCACGGTAGATCTGGTTGAAAAATGATAGATCGACGCATTACCAGTAAGATCTACCAGGTAGTGCACCATTATACCAGATTCCGGCCACTTTCCGACAGTGTTGGCCAGAATCTGGCAAATGTGGGTGGGTAGAGATGTTTTTGTTAATTTCTAAACATTTTTATGGGGTGTTTAGTTAAATTAACAAACTTAAAGGGTCTAAAAATAATTGAATAAAATATAATAGTATTTTCTGAATAATGAAACAAACAATTATTTTGAGAATATGATAGAAAATAGGATTTTTCATAATACTTGTTAATCTTAGATATAATATCTACTAAAATAGAATTTTCAGACCAAGAAGATACTTATCCAATGTTATGAAAAGATAAAAAAACATATCGAAATTCACCCAGTAGTGGAGAAGGTGAGAACAAGCCATATGGAAATCAAAGGCCTATTTTTCTAGCCAAAATCACATATCCAAAAGGAACTTTATGATTATCATAGCTCGACAAAATCGTAGGGCAACAATCGCATTCATCATTTTCTTCCACCACTCACAAAAGACATTATTGAAAGATTTTGATACGATAAATAGAAGATAAAATTATGAACTTTGACATTATTGACACAATACTGTAACACTGATAAGTTGCAACTAATCTGGGAAGTCTATTGTCGTAGATAATCATGCAAAATCTTACAGATATTGCATGATTAAGTGTATAAATCTATAATAAGATATTAGGATTGTAATCAATATATATTAAGAACAAATCTGTAAAATAGGAAGTTGGATTATTCATTTCTCATATTAGATTATTTGTTTCCTATATTAGTTCTTTATTTTCCTATATATTGATGTATAATTTATCAATACATATATAATAAAATTACAATCAGTTCTATGTTTTTCACATGGCATCAGATTCTAGGTTGTTTCTCAATTTCGTTTTCTTTTTCTCTACCCAAGTGAGCATTATTTGTGAGTCACCCTGAAGAGTGGCCTTTTTTTCTCACTGCCTGCCTAGGAAGAAGCCCCTCTTGCCGATCGACCATTCCCTAAAGTCTGATCACCGGAGGAGCAGCGCGTGAGTCTCACGAGCCACCTTTTTCATCTACGGCAGTCTTCACACACTGACGTGTAGGGGCACATGTGATGGAGCACAGTGCTCCGATCACCCTTCCCGGCTTTGTCTTGATATTTCTGGCAAGTTTGTGTGATCAATTCCTCAGTATCTCAGCCAGGTCATATCAGTTTTGTTGATTTCTATTGATATCAAATTTCGTTCTTTGAAGAGTTTTGTTGGCCATTTGTGTTGAGGTCAGTTTGTTGATTTTTCATTTGTAAGTTGTGTTGGCTATTTGTGTTGAGATCAATTTTTCATCTTCTTACCATGGCTGATAAGCCTATAACTGATATGGTTCTTGTAATGTCAAAAAGTAAGGAACAAAAGTTTAATGGGTCTGATAACTATTTTGATTGGAGTAAAACAATTCGTCTCTACCTGCGAAGCATTGGTAAAGATGATCATATCACAAAAGATCCATCTGAAGACGATTCAAAGCAAACATGGTTGAGAGAGGATGCCCGGTTGTTCTTGCAGATACAGAACTCCATCAACAGTGAGGTATTTTGTTTAATTAATCATTGTAATTATGTGAAAGAGTTGATGGACTATCTAGATTTTTTGTATTCTAGGAAAGGGAATGTGTCTCGTATTTTTTATGTATGCAATGCCTTTTATCGAGCTGAGAAACAAGATAGGTCTCTTATGACCTATTTTATGGACTTTAAAAGGATATATGATGAACTTAACGTCCTTTTACCGGTGAGTGCTGATGTGAAAGTTCAACAAGGTCAACGAGAGAAAATGGCGGTTATGAGTTTCCTAGCTGGACTCTCTTCTGAGTTTGAATCTGTTAAATCTCAGGTTCTCACTAGTTCTAAGATCAACTCCCTCCAAGACGTATTTACTAGGGTTCTTTATACAGAAAGCACTTCATCTGTTCAGTTGAGTAATGCTCTTGTAAGTCAGAATAATGACACCGGGTGTTCATATAACATGAGCAATAATAGAAAAGGGAGTTCAAATAATCGTGATAATCGTAGTCAGGAGTCAGGAGGGATTGTGTGCTACTACTGTCATGAACCCGGTCATACAAAGTGCTCATGTAGAAAGTTGCAAAATAAGGCCTAGAAAACTCAGTTAGCTCATGCTGCTGCTACTGATACTTCTGAGAAAACGGTTATGATTTCAGCTGATGAGTTTGTCAAGTTCTCTCAGTATCAAGAATCATTAAAGTCCTCATCTACTTCCATCACTTCTCTCGCCGAGTCAAGTAAACCAATTACATGTCTTATTTTCTCATCCTCCAAATGGGTCATTGATTCTGGTGCCACAGATTATATGACAGGTAATCCTAGTCTCTTTTCAACATACCAGTCACATAATTCCTTTTCTAATGTTACTTTAGCTGATCGATCAACTTCTTGTGTTCTTGGGTCTATGTTTGTTAACCCTACTCCGTTAATTTCCCTATCCTCTGTATTGAGTCTATCACAGTTCGATTTTAATTTAATTTTTGTGAGTAAACTCACTCGTGCTCTTAAATGTTGAATCTCATTTTTCCCTGATCATTGCTTGTTTCAAGATCTTACAACGAGGCACATTATTGGTAAAGGACATGAATTTGGAAGGCTCTACATCCTTGACACACAGGTGCCCAGAACCATTGCATGTTCTAGTATTTCGACGTCTTTTGAGACATATTGTCGGTTAGCACATCCTTCTTTACCATTGTTAAAGAAACTATGTCCTCAGTTCAATAATTTATCTTCGTTAGATTGTGAGTCATGTCAATTTTCCAAACACCACCATCTTCCTTCAAGTCCAACAGTCAATAAACGGGCTAGTGTCCCTTTTGAATTAGTTCATTCAGATGTTTGGGGTCCGTGTTCTATTATGTCTAAACCTGGATTTAAATATTTTTTTACCTTCGTTGATGACAACTCTCATGTAACTTGGCCTTATTTAATGAACAATCGTTCTAAGTTGTTTTCTCATTTTTGTGCCTTTTGTGCTGAAGTTAAAACTCAATTTAATACTTCTGTCCAGACATTAAGAAGCAATAATGCCAAAGAATATTTTTCGAGTTCTTTTCAGTCTCATATGAGTTAGCATGGCATTCTTCATCAATCCTCTTGTGTTGACACACAGTCCCAAAATGAAGTAGTCGAGAGGAAAATAGGCACCTTCTTGAAACTGCCCGAGCCCTATTATTTCAAATGCAAGTTCCTAAATAGTTTTGGGCCGATGTAGTTTTCACGGCTTGTTTTCTAATTAACTGCATGTCTTCATCTATTCTGAATGGTTCTACTCCTTACAATGTCCTCTTCCCGTCTAAGCCTTTGTTTCCTATTGTACCAAAGATATTTGGTAGTACTTGTTTTGTTCGTGATGTTCGATCCCAAGTAACCAAGTTAGATCCCAAATCTCTTAAATGTATTTTTCTAGGTTACTCTCACCTTCAGAAGGGATATCGATGTTATTTTCCTAGTCTTAATAGATATCTGGTGTCACCTGATGTTACTTTCTTAGAAAACACCTCTTTTTTTCCTACTTCGTTTACCTATACAAGTTAGGGGGAGGACGATGACTTACTAATCTACACTGCCACATCCCTACCGGCTACTCCTACACCTGAGGCTTCCTTACCTACTGTTCCTCCTCTAGCACCACCTCATGTCTGTCCACTACCTCCAATTTGCATTGTCTATTCTCGTCGACAGGAACCTCTTGTACTAGTCCCTTCGTCGTCAAATCCAGTCTCCAATGATCCTAATACCTCTGTTCTTTGTCAAGAAGACCCTCAGAATTCATGTCCTACCCAAGACTTTTCGTCGTTGGATCTAGCCTTGAGTGATCTTGATCTTCTTATTGCTCTTCGGAAAGGTAAATGTCAGTGTACTTATCCTATCTCTTCATTTGTTTCTTATGATCACTATCATCTTCTTCTTGTTCTTTTGTGGCATCACTGGACTCTATCTCTCTTCCTGCAACTGTTCATGAAGCCTTATCTCATCCTGGCTGGCGTGATGCTATGATAGAAGAGATGAATGCTTTAGATGTTAATGGTACTTGGACTTTGGTTGACTTACCTACTAGAAAGAGACCTATTGGATGCAAATGAGTGTTTGCTGTTAAAGTAAATGTTGATGGGTCAGTGGCTAGGCTTAAAGCTCGTCTTATAGTTAAAGGATATGCTCAAACTTATGGAGTGGATTATTCTGACACTTTTTCCCTTATGGCTAAATTGACTTATGTTCGCTTATTTATCTTTATAGCAACTACTCATTCTTGGTCATTACATCAGTTGGACATCAAAAATGTCTTTTTACATGGTGATAGTGGCGGATTTACTTAATGACGAGTGGGGACCACGGCCCCCACTCAAATTTTAAAAAATTTTAGATTCTATAAATATTTATATTTATTTGCATTTTACCCCCTATAAGACTTTGACATTTCGCCCCCACAAGACTTTGACATTTTGCCCACTATATAACTTTGACATTTTGGGAAAAGAAATGCTTTTTTGGTTTTTGAACTCTTACAGTTCCAGAACAAAACACACGCTAAAACCTCTCTTTCCTCTTTCTCTCTTCCCTTTTTCTCTCATGGTGCAGGTGCTTTAACTCTCAGTCTCTCTCAGACTATGACTCTCACCAAACTCTCATTCCAAATCTAAACAAATGAACCAACACTCCAACAGTACTTTTCATCCATTTATCAAAAGGTAATGTCCCTAATCCTAAAGGCTAAATCCCTAATTTTCTCTATTCATTCCATGTTTTACAGTTTTAGAGCTTTTTTTATTGTAGTTTCCAATAAAATTGAGAATTATATATTTAGAATTTGTGATTTACTAAACTTGAATCTTGCTCCTAATGGCCAACCAGAGTCTTTGAAATTGAAGGGGCCCTTACCATTCAGCCAATGCAGCAATGCCCATTGCCCAGACGTCCACACGCACAATGAAAAATAGGACAAAAAAATAAATTATTCATTCATCAAGAATTATGCCTCATTTACTGTTGATGGTTGGATTTGGAACTTGGATCATGTTACATGTATCATTTCAGTTTGTTTTTTTAATTTAATTATTGTTGAGAAATAAGTTTGGTTTGGTTACTTTGGTAGGTGTATTTTAATTTTAATCCACTCAATTGGGAAGGCAAAAAAAACAAAAATGAAAGAGTTCTCAAAACTCTCTGCATGGCCTTTATTGAATCAACCCCACGGTCCCCACTTGAATTTGTGAATCTCCTTTTTGTCATGTTTATCAAAAGTGTAACTTTGTTCTTTAGAGATATCAGTACAGGTTATAAATTTCAATTGGAAACTACTCATGACCCTCATGGCCCCACTTATTTATTTATTGATTCAAAGTGTAAATGAAATGAAGATTAGATGATTGTAACCAATATATAGCTCTATCTCACTGCTTAGCTGGACTCTCCAGAATTTTCAGTTTCAGCATAGAACCATTCATCCCTTCTTCTTCATTTAGTTCTCAGTATGGTTCAATTTTTCTGTATTTATTTCAGTGTTGCTTTTTAAGAACAGGAGACTTGGTTAATTTTTAGATTTCCATACGAAAAATTTAGTTTTTATTTCATTTAAAATAAAGCAATACTATTATGTATTAGAAAAATGAGAAAAGATAATGAAAAAAATAAAGTGCAGTTAGAATTTTGAGGGGCTTAAAAGTTTCTTTAAAAAAGGGAGAGGGGTGGTCCATGGTCACATTTACATGTCCCAGTAGGGATGATTCAAGAGGAGTCTTCTCTTCAATAAAGGTCAAAGTTACACTATATAATAGTTCTTTGTTGACAATATCAAAAACTTTTTAAACTTTATAAACATAAACAACTAATTATTTATTGTTTGTAAAGATTAGCTTGAGAAATCATTGTATATGTATCTTTTCTTTCATACTCATTAAATTACTTGACTAAGTCAAATTTTATAAAAGGAGTTGACTTCTTTTTTCTATAAATATGCATGATTTATGTTAAATGAGTCTAAAAGGAATTCAAACCCAAAAAATATCACATTCTTATTGTCTTTACATTACTATATATGTAAATCACTAAAGGTTACTATGTATGTCTTATTGTCTTTTCATTACTATGTATGTAAATCACTATAGGTTATTAATATTGTACAATTCCTTATTGTTTTATTTGTTTAAAACTTCTTATTAGGTATGCAATATGGATAAATTTCTCAAAAGAAAATCAGCAATAGATCAATCATCCTCATCAGTCCAAGAAAGTAAAACCAATGATAAAGAAAATGATCCATTAAAAGAAAGTCATGTAGAACTTGAAGCCATCTTGAAAGATCTTCCATCTGATCCAGCTCTACGACCTAAAATCAATCATTATCATCCTAATTATAGGGATGCAATTAGAAGATTTTACTTGCAAAAGAGTTGTTGCCAGCCTCGAAATCATGCATTTCCACTGACAAAATTTGGAAAAGGATATCGTCGATTTAATCCTGCTTGGTTTGATGTGTATGGCGATTGGCTTGAGTATAGTGTGACCAAAGATGCTGCATTCTGTTTGTATTGTTATCTTTTTAGACCTTCCATTATAAGCCAAGCTGGTAGTGACGCTTTCGTTAGTGAGGGATTTTGTAATTGGAAGAAACCAGAACGCTTTCAAATTCATGTTGGCCAGCCAAATAGTGCTCATAACCAAGCACGACAGAGTTGTGTGAATTTAATGAATCAAAAGCAACATATTGAAGTGGCTCTATCTAAGCAATCAGATCAAGTTAGGACTGAATACCGAACTCGCTTGACTGCATCCATTGTTTGCATTAGATTTCTTTTGCGTCAAGGGTTGGCATTTCGTGGTCATGATGAAACTGAAGACTCAAAGAACCAAGGTAACTTTCTCGGACTTCTTTATTTTCTAGCTCAGCATAATGAACATTTTAAGAGTGTTGTTTTGAAGAATGCACCTGGGAATCTTAAATTGATAGCACCAGTGATTCAGAAAGATATTGTGAATGCTGCAGCAAATGAAACCACAAAAGCTATCATTAGTGATCTTGGAGATGACATATTTTCAGTTTTGATTGATGAGTCTCGTGATGTGTCAATTAAAGAACAAATGGCTATTGCTATACGTTATGTAGATAAAAAGGGTCATGTACTTGAGCGATTTCTTGGCATTGTACATGTTAGTGACACAACTGCAGTATCACTTAAGATGGCTCTTGAGTCATTATTCTGTCAACATGGATTGAGTTTGTCAAGATTACGTGGACAAGGTTATGATGGGGCAAGTAATATGCAAGGAGAATTTAATGGTCTGAAAAGTTTGATTTTGAGGGAGAATGAATATGCTTATTATGTTCACTGTTTTGCTCACCAACTTCAGTTGACACTTGTAGCTGTTGCAAAAAATCACATTTCTATTGCTTCATTTTTTAGCTTGGTTACTAATCTGATAAATGTTGTTGGAGGTTCATGCAAGCGTCGAGACATGCTTCGGGAGAGCCAAATTAATAAACTTGTTCAAGCACTAGAAATTGGTGAAGTTAGCAAGGGACGAGGTTTGAATCAAGAGACAAGTCTAAAACGACCTAGTGATACACGTTGGGGCTCGTATTATTACACATTGATCAACTTAATCCTTTTGTTATCTTCTGTGGGCGATGTGCTTGAGGTTATTGAAGAAGATGGTTTAAATCCTGAACAAAGGGGTGAAGCATGTAATCTATTAGATTTAATCTATTCCTTTGATTTTGCATTTAACTTACATATGATGAAAAGTATATTGGCGATTACTAATGAGTTGTCACAAGCATTGCAGAGAAAAGATCAAGACATTGTAAATGCTATGGCTCTAGTCAAAGTTTCCAAACAACAGTTACAATTGTTGAGAGATGAAGGATGGGAATCTTTGTTGAGTGAAGTTTCTTCATTTTGCCAAAAGCATGATATTGCCATTTTGAATATGGATGATATGTTTGCAATTCGAGGGCGGCCACGACGGAGAGTTGAGCACATGACAAATTTGCATCACTATCGAGTTGAATTGTTTTATACTGTGATAGATATGCAACTTCAAGAACTTAACACTCGTTTCACTGAGGTTAGTACTGAGCTGCTTCTTTGTATGGCATGTTTAGATCCAAGTAATTCATTCTCTGCTTTTGACAAACATAAGTTGATTCGTTTTGCCCAGTTTTATCCATCTGATTTTTCTGCATTTGAGTTGATGATACTTGAGAACCAGGCTGAGACTTATGTTATTGACATGCGTTCTTGTGAGGAATTCTCTAAGTTACAAGGAATTGGAGATTTGGCTAAGAATTTAGTTTGCTTTAAAAAAGACATTTTGTATCCATTGGTGTATAAGCTTGTGAAACTTGCATTGGTTTTACTAGTTGCGACTGCGACCGTTGAAAGGGCTTTTTCTGCAATAAATATTGTGAAAAGTCGGTTACGCAATCAAATGAGAGATCAATGGATGAATGATTGTTTGGTCACCTATATTGAGAAAGATGTATTTGATACAATTGACGATGAGATGATTATCCAAAGTTTTCAGAATATGAAAACTCGTCCAGGACAATTGTAAAAAAATTGTGTTTTTTGAATATATGTATTTGTATTTTGTAACTTTTTGTTGAAGTTCATCCTAATGAAAAAAAAAAGTATAGTTATGATTGGTTCAAATTTTTTTTGTTTATTTTTTGCCCCCATCGAGTGAAATTCCTGGATTCGCCACTGCATGGTGACCTTCAAGAAGAAGTCTATATGGAGCAACCATCCAGGTTTGTTGCTCAGGGGGAGTATGGGAAAGTTTATCATCTTCGCAAATCATTGTATGGTTTGAAACAGAGTCCATGTGCTTGGTTTGGAAAGTTTAGTCAGGTAGTTGAAAAGTTTGGAATGACAAAGAGCAAGTCTGATCACTTTGTCATTTACAAACAATCGGTAGTTGACATTATTCTTCTTGTCATATATGTTGACGACATTATCATCACTAGGAGTGACACTGTAAGGATTTCATTACTTAAGTCATTTCTTCACACCCAGTTTCATAAAAAAGATTTAAGAGTGTTGAAGTATTTCTTGGGGGTTGAGGTAACGAGGAGCAAGAAAGACATCTTCCTCTCTCAAATGAAATATGTACTTGACTTATTAATTGAGACAGGAAAATTGGGAGCTAAGCCATGCAGTATGCCAATATTTCCTAATTCGCAACTTACCAAAGATGGTGAATTGTTTGAATATCCTAAGAGGTATAGAAGACTGGTTGGAAAGTTGAACTGTCTAACAGTCACTCGTCATAATGTTGTGTACTCTGTCAATGTAGTAAGTCAATTCATGTCTTCTCCTACGATTGACCATTGGGCAGCGTTAGAGCAGATTTTGTGTTATCTGAAAAGAGCTCCAGGATGTGGTATTTTGTATGGAAATCATGGACATAATAATATTGAATGCTTCTCTGATGTAGATTGGGCAGGTTCTAAGATAGATAGGAGATCCCTACGAGCTACTATGTTTTTGTTGGTGGAAATTTGGTCTCATGGAAAAGCAAGAAGCAAACTGTTGTATCCCAGTCTAGTGCAGAATCGAAATATAGGGCTATAACCCAGTCTGTATGTGAAGTAATATGGATATATCAATTTTTTTACAAGTTGGTCTTATAACCTCTTTGCCAACGAAAGGTGTAATAACCAAGCCGCTCTTCATATTGTTTCTAATACTGTATTTCATGAACGAAACTGTCATTTCATTTGTGAGAAAATACAACAAGGTTTAATCTCTATAGGATATGTGAAGACTGAAGAACGACTAGAAGATGTTTTCACTAAAGCTTTGAATGGGATTCAGATTGATTATATTTGTAACAAGTTGAACATGATTAGCAACTATCCTCCATCTTGAGGGGGAGTGCTGTAGATAAGATTTTACATGATTAAGTATATAAATCTATAACATGAGATTAAGATTATAATCAATATATATTAAGAACAAATCTGTAAAATAGGAAGATGGATTATTCATTTCCAAGATTAGATTATTTATTTCCTAGATTAGTTTTTTATTTTCCTATATATTGACGTATAATTTACAAACACATATATAATAAAATTACAATCAGTTCTCTGTTTTTCACATGTATCAACTAATTACTTAACTTCATGATCATCTTAGCAGCTGAGATTTGCGAAGTGGACACATATGAGGTCACAGCAGGATCAAAAAGTCAAAACTTAAAAAATACATGAAGACCGAAGACTCTGCGCTTCCCAAAATTCAGCCTTTGCTAGGCTCCTGAATTTGGATTGATGTCTTTGCTAAGCTAGCCTCCAATTCATTTAGCTCGTTGATGTCTAGCTCATCATCGTCATCATCAGGGAGCACTTCATCATCCTGAACTGATTTTGCTGAGGTACTTGTTCCATCTCCAGCAGAATTGCCATTGACCTAAAGTTTGATCAGCAAAACATAAGATATTCAGAATACACCTAATCCATTTGGATTTCAACTCATGATTAGAAACAACCATAAATTATTCATTACAACACCTTTTTCAAGTTCCAGCAACAATATGTAGTAATGTCTAGCAATGAGACAGGTGCTTTCTCTTTTTGATTAATGGACCTGAAATAATGTCAAAGTTGGCCGGTAGAGTGAAAGCAACTTGAGGAAGGCATTTGAAGAAGGAGAAAAGCTGCCCCATCAATCATATTTATTGATGAATTAATTCCATAGCTCCAAAGAGGGAAAAGACCACATGGTGAAGTGGAGAGGCGTATAGTTTCCCAGCTTCTAACTCTAATGGATGCCCTTAAGTCCCGCTCATGTGATTGTTATGGGAGCCACAATAGGCCAAATAGCATTGTCCTGCTTTCAGGAGATTTGATCGAGAGATTGACATATTATATGGACAGTAGTGAACATCATCCATATTTATGGACAACCGTTCACTAGAAAAATATTTTTATTTAGTAGTGTGTCTAGATTATTGGTGTGAGTAAGAAGGACACGTAAACCGGTACATATTTTCAGTTGCAAAAATATCGATGTTCGTACTTTGTGCTAAAATCACAATCCAAAGGAATTTTATGATTATCATAGCTCGACAAAATCGTAGGGCAACAATCACATTCATCATTTTCTTCCCACCACCAACAAAAGACAATTTGAAAGATTTTGATATGATAAATAGAAATAAAATTATGAACTTTGACATTATCGACACAATACTGTAACGCTGATAAGTTGCAACTAATCGGGAAGATGCATCTTCCAGCACAGCTTGAATAGTTGAGAGCAAGCTGGAAAGTTTTTTCATATCTTTGTCAACACCCCACAGCAACCCAACCTCCTTTCGGATGAGTGAGTTCAAATTCTCCAGCAAAACTTGAATAAAAGCGTCAGCCATTTGCAATTGCAAGGTTGAAAATCCAATGCTCTGAGAGAGATTTGTTATGGGAAGGAGATAGAGGTGGCCTGAGTAAATGGAATTGGAAGACTTGCATGTAGCTTGAAAGTCAATATTGCAAGGAAGTATTTATGGCAGAAAACCTGACTCGCTTGTTAATTCAATTTGAGTTAAAGAGTTCTATACCAAGTCTAAAATACTTGGATTGTGAACGTGGACAGCGAGGAAATTCGGACCAAGCAAGTTACATGGAGGGAAAGAGCCTAAACATTTTGATCCAAACCATTCCAAATCCAAGCCTTAGAAAGGAAGCCCAAGCCCATTAGGAAAAAAGCCTAAGTGTTGAAGTGGTCCAATCTGGTCCAAATCTCATTCCAAAGGAGAAGATCCATATGAACTCTTATTGAATCCATTTGCAAGATTCTCAAGACTCAAACTCTCACACCCTTATTAGTAAACTTGATTAGGATCATTGATCAAGTTTTGATATAATAAAGTGAGTTTATTTCAACTAATGGGATGGTTAAAAACATAGATCCTAGAATTAGAGAATCGTGTCTACTTTGCATTAAATAGGCATGGTCTTCCTTTTTGAGTGAATAGCTTGTAATATTTGTTAATTTAATTTTTTTTTATTGTATTTGTCAATTATTTACTTGACCTTGTAATTGCCTATATAAAGGTAACTATTCTCTTTGTAACATTTAGCTTATAAAATATTGAAAATTGTTTTATCCATTTGAGAGAACTTTGTATTTTTTGTTATGCATTCTTTATCCAAGTCTCGACAAGAGGATTTGGTGGTAAATCAATTCAAGTTGGTGAAGCAATCATTCATGCTTGAAGTGTTTCTACTTGTCTTGGTCCGAAATTGCAAGTAAGTGTGACATTGTTTTTGTATTGCATTTGGCCGAATTTTAACTTGGGTTTATGGCATGTTGTGCTGTGTTGTTGAAATTGGTTGGAATTCGATCATAACCTAAGAAGGTTTTCTCCTCTGCATCTTCAAGCACAACCTGAATAGTTAAGATCAAGCCAAAAAGTTTCTTCATTTCTTTGTCAACACCCCAAAGCAACACAGCTTTCTTTCGAATGCGTTGAGTTCAAATTCTCGTGTAAAATTTGAACAGAAGCCCATTTGAAACATTTGAAATGCAAGTTCAAAATTCCAAAGTCCATCTAAAATATATCTTCTTCTTTTTTTTTTTTTTTTTTTTTTTTTGAATACTTGTAAATTAAAATCAAAATTGAGATAATTGTATTGTATTTATATACTTGTATTTCTAATGAATGTGTAATTGTTAATGTCAATTCTTAATCCTAATATCTGAGTTTATATTTGCAATTTATAATTAAAATTAATAAAAAATACTAAAATTCAATTAATATTTCAATGTCTTATTATTTTATTTTATAGTGATTATATATTATTATAATTAATACAAATATAAAATGAGAGAGAAAGGAGAATGAAGATTGGAATTGGAGTTTGAAAAAATAAGAGAAATAATAGGGTATTTATAGGAAAAAAATGTGAAATAGCCGTTATTAACGACTATTTTTTAAAATATTTTTAGTGGGCCATGCCATGTCGACTCGCTTGCCTTTTTTTAAGGCCAACGGCACGACCCGTGTGATCATGGGCTTTGTTATGCCATGCTTTTTTTCATGTCAACTCAACTCTACTTGCAACTCGAATATAAAACCCTAAAAGTATAACTAACAAAAGGATTTGTTAGTGGGATTTGTCATCAACCACGAGGGGAGAGGTTAACCCTAAATAATATTACTGACCCAGTTCAGAAGTAATGATCCAAACAATGTACATTAAGTCAAATTTTGAAACCTCTAATAGAGATCATTAGGGTTTGTCATAATACTTGTTAATCATAGACATAATATCTACTAAAATAGAATTTTTAGACCAAGAAAATACTTACCCAGTGTTCTGAAAAGATAAAAAACAGATCGAAATTCACCCAACAGTGGAGAAGGTGAGAACAAGCCATATGGAAATAAAAGGCGTATTTTTCCAACTAAAATCACCAACAAAGCTACGGACACCGATATTTTTGCATCGAAAATATGTATCGGCCTACGTGTTCCCCTGACTCACACCAGTAATCCAGACGCGCTATTAAACAATAAATATTTTTCTAATAAATGACTGTCCATCAAATATGAACGGTGTTAGGAAGCAAATGGCTCAAATTCGTGAGCTTGTAGAACTTCCTCTCAGACACCCTCAGCTCTTCAAATCAATTGGTGTGAAACCCCCAAAGGGAATCTTGCTTTAAGGGCCACCTGGGTCTGGAAAAACCTTGATTGCAAGAGCTGCTGCTAATGAGACAGGTGCTTTCTTCTTTTTGATTAATGGACCTGAAATAATGTCAAAGTTGGCCGGTGAGAGTGAAAGCAACTTGAGGAAGGCATTTGAAGAAGGAGAAAAGCATGCCCCATCAATCATATTTATTGATGAATTAAATTCCATAGCTCCAAAGAGGGAAAAGACACATGGTGAAGTGGAGAGGCGTATAGTGTCCCAGCTTCTAACTCTAATGGATGCCCTTAAGTCCCGGGCTCATGTGATTGTTATGGGAGCCACAAATAGGCCAAATAGCATTGATCCTGCTTTCAGGAGATTTGATCGAGAGATTGACATATTATATGGACAGGTAGTGAACGATCATCCATATTTGATGGACAACCGTTCACTAGAAAAATATTTATTATTTAGTAGTGTGTCTAGATTATTGGTGTGAGTAAGAAGGACACGTAAACCGGTACATATTTTCAGTGCAAAAATATCGATGTTCGTAGCTTTGTTGCTAAAATCACATATCCAAAAGGAATTTTATGATTATCATAGCTCGACAAAATCGTAGGGCAACAATCACATTCATCATTTTCTTCCACCACCAACAAAAGACAATATTGAAAGATTTTGATATGATAAATAGAAGATAAAATTATGAACTTTGACATTATCGACACAATACTGTAACGCTGATAAGTTGCAACTAATCTGGGAAGTGTATCAACTAATTGCTTAACTTCATGATCATCTTAGCAGCTGAGATTTGCGAAGTGGACACATATGAGGAGAGCTAGTTCACAGCAGGATCAAAAAGTCGACACTTTAAAAATGCATGAAGACCGAAGACTCTGTGCTTCCCAAAATTCAGCCTTTGCTAGGCTCCTGAATTTGGATTGATGTCTTTGCTAAGCTTGCCTCCAGTTCATTTAGCTCGTTGATGTCTAGCTCATCATCGTCATCATCAGGGAGCACTTCATCATCCTGAACTGATTTTGCTGAGGTACTTGGTCCATCTCCAGCAGAATTGCCATTGACCTGAAGTTTGATCAGCAAAACATAAGATAATCAGAATACACCTAATCCATTTGGATTTCAACCCATGATTAGAAACAACCATAAATTATTCATTACAACACCTTTTTCAAGTTCCAGCAACAATATGTAGTAATGTCTATGAAAAAAAAAGGTTTTGATTGCATAAATCTTCTTTATTAACAGTTTCTCTGGATTACTTTTCCCAAATTAAATCAAACGGCCACATTTAATTGCATTGCCAAATTTTGATTTCTAGTAGCAACTCAAAGCTGTTTATGTTGTTACATTTCAAGTAGATAGAAACTGAGAAACTGTTTGACAGCCACCGTTATCATGCAACCAACCCAGGAAATTTTTCTCATAACAAAATCTTAATACTTCCCCAAATTTTTCATTGAACCAAAGGTATTGTCAATCTGTCATATAAAATGTCTCTGGCACTCAAAAACTTCTTAGAAATGAAAAGAAACAAGAAACAGCAATGCAATAAATCACTCTAGTATGTCTATAATGTCCAAAATCATGCCATTGTTAGACAGGCCACAACTTCTTTAAAGTTGTGTCCATGCTACATAAGCAGCAATAGATGCAGGTCAAAATTTAACAGTCATTAAAATGACAGACTATTAGGTTACCATCCAGGCTCCTTCCAATTGAATAAAGAAGTTGGGCATTATAAAACAGCAGTGATATACATCCCATGTGATGTGTCATTGTTTTAGAGATACACATCATGGACTACTTAATCACATAAGCCACATGTATCACTAATAAAATGTCACATCACTAGGGATTCATAAAACTGTTCTAATAAAAATGATATCCAAGTAAACAACAGATCTAATAAGATGCATAATTAATGAAATTTGTATTATCTGGTCATTTCACCATTACACAATCTGTGCAAAGAATAATGAAATCTAAAACATTGATAAACAAAAAGTAGTTAACAGGTATTATCTAGCCACATCACCATCTAAATTATTTGTGCACAAAGATATAGAAAGCTAAATTTTGTTTCCTTTTTTCTGTATATCATCGAAAACCAAGTAATTTTGTTCAACACACAGAGGAAAGTCTATGAAGAAATAATAGCACTGGAGTAATGTCTGAAAGTTTTTGCGAAAAATGCAGAAGTGACACGTGAAGAATTACCTTCTGTTCCTTAGCATGAGATTCTTCCTCTCTTTGGTACTTCTCATATGCCTCAGCATCATCCACAAATACACTAGAATCTGACAGGAAGAGTTCACGCCCACTGAAAAGAAATAAAAAGTACATGTTAAAACCTAAGACCCAAAAATTTAGGGAGCACACAGGCACAACATTGACACACACAGGAAATTACCTCATACGGTCATTCTTAGCTCTCTCTGCCCTCTGTGCATCCAAACCAGCTTCTCTTTCAGCAATCTTCTTTTTCTTCCACTTCATGAACAACTCAGGAGTCATGGGGGTTGAAGTAGTTACTTTAGCACGCTAGTAGGAGAAAAAGAGAGTTAGCTGATTTAGGGGGAAATATTAGATCACCTATCATGTACTCAGAATAAAGCTACTGTCACAATTAAACAAAAGGTAACCTAGATCCAGAAAAAATCTATTTTTCACCTGATTTTCAATCTCCTCCTCAATAGTTATCTTTTCACTCTCTTCCTCTAACAGAGCCTTCATCTGAGATTTCAAAACATATCCAGGAGGAAGAGCATGCCTGTAGTGGCAGTCTTTACCACCATTTGGGCAGACCCAAAACCATCCATATTGTTTCTTCTCCACAGCATCTAAGAAGTATTTACAAACCTACAGACAAATCAAAGAGAATGAGGTTATTTCTCAATTCTCTAAACTTCAGCCCTTTCTAATTCTCTCCATGACCTTCTGTTGTATTCTATGAGCCTATATACAGGCATTCTGGAGTTGGAAATAGTTTTCATAGAGAACAAATTGTACAGAAATAACATCATGGAAAACTTACAATATCAGTAGGTTTATTCTGTTGATACTCCTTATTCTTTGATTCAACAACCTTCTCCAAAGTTTCTTGATCCCAATCCTCCATTGTTACTAAAGAAAAGAAGCACCAAGATCCCAAATAAGAATAACAAATGCGTGCATATATAAACATGAATTACAAAAAAAATATAATAATAAATAATTTTCAACATGTTTCATTAAGCTCAAAACTGGGGACTACAGTTGCGCTAAAAACTTTAATAGCTAGATAACCCATAGAAACTAATATCCCAGGGAAATGGCACAAAGAGATTCAAACCACTTAAGTCTTATGCTATAATCCACATATCCATAACTAAGTAACAAGTAACAACCAACAAAATAAAATCTTTTAAGCAATAACCTTGGTCACGCTTGTCGCTGTAAAGGTCAATCTTTTCCCCTTTCCGCTGAACATTTAAATCATGCGAGAACTTGCATTTGAAACCTTTTGCACACTGCCCCGCTTTATAAAACTCGCATAGTATAGACTTGGGATCAACACCTGGGCACATGTTCAGAAAGTACCAAGTTGTATGCATAAAACAAAATCTTCATACATTGCTAACCCAGTTCAAAGAAAAATCAAGAAATACAAAACTAACCAACGGGAACTTTAGGCTGACTAACTGCAATCTTAAACAAATCATTCAGCTCCTTGTCTTTTGCCTTCTCCTCCTCCTTCTTTTTCTGAAATTATAATAGATTCTATCGGAAATCATAATATTCAATAAATTTAAAATGCTTAAAAGGTTAATTTAAAAAATAAAAAAAAGCCCCTCAACTCAGCTAAGCGAAATACTCATAACAGGCCCATCTGATTAAACAATAAAAACTTTCAGGGAAATTTTCAATGATCGCCTGAGATTTTGAGGATCATCACAAACTTCCCTAAATTCCCCATCGGGATTTTATCAAATTTACCCAAAAACTAATAACATTTCAATGATATTTTGTGAAATTAAAAACCGTATAAATAATTTAAAAAAAAAAAAAAAGAATCCCAATTCATGATCATGATTGTTATAAAATCAGAGAACTATGAAAGAACCTTAGCGGCGACCTTAGACGAGTCGGGTTTGGGTTGAACGGATTGCTTGAGATTCTGAACATATTTCTGAACGTTTTTGCTCTTGTTTTTGTTCTTAAGACCGAAGGTCTTGTCTTCTACGATCTTCTGCTTCTTCGCTATTTCTGCTTTTGATTGCTGCTTCGGAGGCATCTCTTATTAGCATCAAATATGGAGAATTAAACGAGCTGAGCTCGATTGATTATTTGATTTGATTTGGGTAATTAGGGTTCGATTATGAGATTGATTGCCCGGTCAGACTTTGATTTAGGCCCGGACGGGATCGAGAAGCTGCGTTTCGTTGTGAATTGCCCGATGTGTCCCTAGTGCTTTTCGACGTGGCTGATTTTAGGAGGCTTTCTACTTACAATAATACTAGAATAATGTTTTGCTTACTCACAACCTTATTAACTATTTTACTATTCTTTGTTAAAATTATATATGGTATCTATACTATGCATATAATATGCATACTATATTTTATATATACATAAAATAATAAAATAAGATAGTGAATAAGCATAGTATTACCCTTCTATTTATCGTTTTTGTCCACCTGTTTTCTCCTCTTCTTATTGAACTACTGTCATCACCTATTCGTCATCATCAAGTTATATTTTTAACATCATTTTAAATCTTCATGGTTAAAACTTAAAAATATCATCTTTATATATATATATTATATATATCTATATTATTATATATATATAATAAATTATAAATATAATATATATATATATTTTTTTTTTTTTTTATGACCAAGGTGATTGGTTACTTGTACACATAGCTTTTCTAACTAATTTCTGAAACCTATTAAATATCTTACAAGTCTAATATTAAGATAAGTCACAAATGTAGAGTGTTTGGGTCAACTTACACGTACTAGACTTTCCCAATTAATTCTCGGAGTCCATTGAATACTTTACAAGTGCAATATTCTATAATAAGTCACCAATATAATAAGTGATCCCAAAGTGATTTGAAAAAAAATCAATGAAGAATCAAACATTCTTAACCGTCAAGTCAATCCGTTTAAGCTTTTATTTCTATTTCAATTGGATTAAGATTTAAAACAATTAAACATTTAAATTTAAATTTTATAAAATATTTTGAACATTTCTATAATTGTCGAACAGTTCAAACAAAATGAGCAAAATATAGAGTTAATTAAATAACTTTAATTATAAAAATTTAGTTTCATTGATTTATACAAAATATATAATAAATCTGCTTGTGAAGTTAAGGGAGTAAAATCACAGAATGGGAAATCCTGACCGTTAGAATTGGAGCGAAAATGCAATAACAGAATATTTGATTTCCCAAAAATACCCTTATAGTTGATAAAATCCCCAGCCTATCTAACGACCTCTGAAATTCAATCCACTTGAAAATTAAAAAATCCCAACACCACACATTTCCATCCATTGGCCAAGAATGAGACTCATTCTTGGCACCACCACCACCACCTCCTCCACCTCCTCCTCCTCCTCTATTGTCGCACCGCCGCCGCACCAGGCCCACCACGGCCACCGCAACGGGCCCAAGCCCAAACCCAAGTCCAAACCCACACCCAGTTCCAAACACTATATTGCTAAGCTCTCTCCCTCCGCAACTCCTGCACCAGCACCGCCGACTGTCCATTCTTCTCACGCGCCTCTTCTCTCCAGCCTCCGGTGGGACTATACTTCCCAACTGAAGTACCATGCGGACCTGGCATCCAAGCTAGCAGAGGATGGGAGACTTGAGGAGTTTGTGATGATTCTGGAGAGTGTAGTTGTTTCCGGTGGGAGTGGTTCAAAGTTTGTTTCTTTGTTGAGTTTTGAGTTGGTCTCACGTGGGATTGTGAGGAGTCTTCTAGATGGGAGGGTTCATTGTGTTGTTGAGGTTTTGAAGAAAGTGGAGAAACTTGGTATCGCTCCATTGAAGCTGTTTGATGGAAATTCTTTCCAATATCTTAAGAAAGAGTGCAAGAAGATTGTGGATTGTGGTGAATTGGAGAAATTTGTTGACTTGATTGACACTCTTGCAGGTAATATGTCATTTTTAATTTAGTGATTTTGGGGATTCTGGGTTTTAAGAAAGGGTTTCAAATAGTCAATAGCAATTCATATAACTAATTTTATCAACGTTTTAAGGGACTCTTCTAACATTTTTGCAAGAGAGCTTTTCTTTTTTTTATGCTGCAAATTGAATGATGGATGAGAATTCTTCTGTTTAGTCCAGGGTTCCGAATTCCCATCAAAGAACTGGGTGACTCATACCGCATTGTAAAGTTTTGTGTTGATAAACGTGACACAAATTTGGCAATCAGGTATTACTATTGGTTTGTTGACAGCATAATTCTTATTTGATTTTTAATGACTCTTTTTTTAATTGTTGGAACAAGTTATTACTCAACCATAGTTTCAACTGATATTGTGCTGGCTTATTTCTGATATTTTAGTTATCATGTAATGCAGATATGCAAGCATACTTCCACATGCACATATATTGTTCTGTACCATTATCCATGAATTTGGAAAGAAAAGGGATTTGGTTTCTGCTTTGACGGTATATGAAGCATCCAAGAAAAACTTGATTGGTCCTAATATGTACATATGTCGTACGATCATTGATGTTTGTGGTCTCTGCTGTGACTACATGCAATCTAGGAGTATTTATGAGGTACTTGTTATAATGGTCTCGAGATTTTATTGAGGTCTTTCAGGATGACTTCTAAATGTCATATATGTGGTTTAGGATTTAGCTTCCCGTATAGAGTATTTCTGCAGACTGCAGGCTAATAACTAGATGCTTTAATGCAGGTTTCAGTAATGCCTTGTTTTGAAATGTTTATATGTTCTTTTGCTGCCATTGAGATAAATGATTTCATTTACACACTAAGTTTTATGCAGGATTTACTAAGTCAGAAGATTGCCCCGAATATATATGTGTTTAACAGTGTCATGAATGTGAATGCCCATGATCTGAATTTCACATTACAAGTGTACAAGAATATGCAAGTAATGCTTCTCTCTCTGTTTCTCTTAGTTTTAGAAGTTTGAAGGAAATTGAAATGTATAAGATTCCTCTTAGACTTATGTCAGCAAAATAATACCTTTCTTCTTCATATCTCCAGGAGTTTGGTGTCATGGCAGATATGACATCTTACAATATCCTCTTGAAGGCATGCTGTCTTGCTGGAAGGGTTGATTTGGCACAAGAAATATATAGGGAAGTAATGCATTTGGAATCAAAAGGAGTGCTGAAGTTGGATGTCTTCACATATAGCACAATAGTAAAGGTAACATCTGTGCTTTAAGTGAACATTAATCAGAGTGCCGCTATCTGCTCTAAGTCTCATGACTTTTGTCTTGTTCTTTCCTTTTTTGTGTCCCTTAATGCTTGTAGATCTGAAGATCCATCTAGTGAAGCTTTTATACAACATCTTTATGTCTTCATAACCTATGCATCAATTTTCCAGGTTTTTGCAGATGCAAAATTGTGGCTATTGGCATTACAAATTAAAGAAGACATGCTATCCGCGGGTGTTACTCCTAATACAGTTACATGGTCATCATTGATCAATGCTTGTGCGAATGCTGGTCTTGTAGAGCAGGCACTTTGTTTATTTGATGAGATGCTTCTGGCTGGCTGTGAACCGAATTCACAGTGTTGCAACATCCTTTTACAAGCTTGTGTTGAGGCTTGCCAGTATGACAGAGCTTTTCGTCTCTTCTGGTCCTGGAAGCAAAGTTCAGCTCGGCAGACTTTTTGTGAAGATAGCAATGGCGATAATAGCATTTTAAGTACAGAGACAAAACACAACTATTTTGTTACTAGTACACAGAGTGTTGTATCAAATCCACATCATTTAAGCTTTTCCAAGAGGTTTCCCTTTAAACCCACAACTACGACATACAATATTTTGATGAAGGCCTGTGGTACTGATTACTATCATGCAAAAGCTCTAATGGATGAGATGAGAACAGCAGGTCTATCCCCTAATCATATAAGCTGGTCAATTTTGATCGATACTTGTGGAGGATTGGGCAACATAGAAGGTGCCGTCCAGGTAAGATGTGCACTTCATTTACATATTTTTATGAAAATTTTCGTGGCTGCTGGTTGAATTACATGAATGCACATCCGGATGGAACCACTAAGGTTTCTTTTTCCATTATATATCACCCCTACTACATAGGAATTTTGAACCATTTCGTCTGGATTCACCCCCTTCCCATGATAAAATTAATATGTTCTTCGTTATTTACTCTGTTCTTCCCAACTATTTTTTTTTTCTTATAAGAGAATCATAAATTTTATGTTTTGTTGGTTTAAATCAATATTTTCTTTTTTCCAATTGGATGCTCATATATTAGTCTTAGGAAATGTTTTATTGTCAAAGAAGATTTATTTGTTGAGTAATACATCATATCTACTATTGTCTATACACAAAATATGAATGCTTAGGAATTGTCCCCTTTGAATAAATTTTTTTGGCTCCGTCACCGGATGCACATTTGTAATCAAATCTTGTGGTTTAACACTTCTCTTTAACATTGATCATTGAGGACTTAAAAAAAATTTGCTAATGCATTTCATTTACAGTTTCCCCAATTTTTCAAGGAAGACGGAAACATTCTTCATATTGACAGATTGTTTTATGAGGATATAATTTAACAACAGATATGTTTTCCTTCAGTGCAGATTTTGAATAGTATGCGTAAGGCTGGAATCAATCCTGATGTTGTTGCATATACCATAGCTATCAAGGTCCGAAGTTATTTTTATTTTCACAAAACTGGACTGTTTATGATTTTTGTTTTAAAATATGCTTGATTAGTTGTTGTTTTTCCCATATTGACGAGCCCTCGATGTTGATTCATTGCGCTGTGTGCTTCGTAGGTTTGCGTGAAAAATAAAAACTTGAAGTTGGCATTTTCATTATTTACAGATATGAAACGGTATCAGATACAACCAAATTTGGTAAGTGTTCTATGTTCAGACTTGATATATTTTCTTCCCTCAATCATATATACTTTCCATTATTAACAAGAAATCAGCTGGATCCAAGTCCAACTCCAGGCTGTTCCTGGCAACACATAATTGATGGGAATTTTCAGTTCAATTCAACGTGTATAATTCTTAGATGTTTTTTGTCCAGGTAACATATAATACACTTTTGAGGGCTCGAAGTAGATATGGTTCCTTACATGAAGTGCAACAATGTCTGGCTGTATATCAGGATATGAGGAAAGCAGGGTAAGCGTAAATTAGATCTCTGTACGCTTTCACATGTTGCCAAGACAATTTTTATACAATGGCGAAAGATATTCAGTAGTAGCTAATATTTGATGGAATTTATATATACAACTATCACCCTTGCAATGCATAGGCATATTTTGATTTGATAGTTGGAAATCCGAACACTCGCAATGCTATGAAGCAAATGAGTTGGTCAATTGTCTTACCATTGGATTTGTTCTTATGATTATGGATAAATTGCAGGTTCAAATCCAATGATCACTACCTCAAGGAATTAATTGAGGAGTGGTGTGAAGGAGTGATACAAAACAACAATCAGAACCAAAGAGAGCTCACTTCAAGCAAAGGAACCAACTTAAGATCCCAGAGCCTATTGCTTGAAAAACTTGCAGAAAACTTGCAAAAGAGCAACGCTGAAAACCTAGCAATTGATCTACGGGGTCTAACAAAGGTATGGTTGATATCAGCCAGCTGGAAATTAGAGAATTGTTAACTTCTTCAAATACTGGTATCTGGAGTAGTTTAAAGATAGGCAATTTTACATGGATGAAACAATGATGCCATTCTAACTTCTGTAATATGTAATGTCAGGTTGAAGCACGGATTTTTGTTCTAGCAGTTCTACGGATGATCAAGGAGAACCATTCTCTAGGTACTTCTTAATTAGCTTGCATAAAAAAGGAAGCATGTAAATGTCTTCCATTCACATATTTCACAAATGTTTTTCCATTAAATCAATTAATTTTTTGCAGTTTCAGCAGACTAGAACTCTAGGGCAAACTAATAACATGAGATAAAGAAATATGTCTAACTTTCAACTAAATTCTGATTGCAGGGATTCCAGTCAGAGATGACTTGTTGATAATCTTAGGACCCAATAAAGTAGATGTAAATCCAGCCGAAAGCAAAGACTCTGAGGTGAAAGATGCAATAACTAAACTTTTGCAGAATGATTTGGGCCTCAACGTCTCGTTGGATGGACCTATAATCACAATTGATAAAAATGTAGATATGGACAAGCCTTTTGATTCAGATCCTAATTCGGAAGAAATTTTGGGAAGGAAAAGATTACACATGAAATTCAAATCTTCAACTAGGAGGCCTGCAATTCTACAAAGGTTAAAGGTGACAAAGAAATCACTGCACCGCTGGTTGCAGAGAAGAATAGGTGGCACTACAAGGTAATTATGTTGCATGTACAAATGCCAATTTTGTGTAAAATTTTGTATAAGTTATATTTGATTTTGCTGTAACTTCTTCAGAGGAATATAACTAAATAAGCCTCTATCTATCTATCTATCTATCTGACAAAAGACATCAGTTTATGTCAAATGTAAGTAGTACTCATAACATAATAAGATAAGTTCTTTCCATTTGTTCATCTTGCCCTTCAAATCAATTTCAAATACTTGTATTTCACCTATCTTGGTAATGGATTAGAGAAGGCAGTAGTAATTCGCAGAAATACAAATACAGAAGCTAGAAGTTGGGCAATAACTTTACAATCAACTCAACAAGAATTAGTAAAAGTCAAGTATATTGAAACTACTTCCATGAATAATATAACATGACTGATAAAGATAAGCGAGCATCAAAGACCTATATATTTCATAGGCATATGAATCCAAGATAATACACAAATAGTCAACATATGATTGCAATCAATGTTATTGCTAACTTCGAAGATGAGTAAACATAAATTTAGAAATCACTCAACATTTATGCAGTTTTCATACCATTTCATAGCCAATCCTTCTGCTGCAACTTCAAGGGCAAATAAACCTCAGACAAGTATTGAAACCCAAACGTGCTCAAGGCCTGAATCTCTGCCTTCTGCTTAGTCTTCACCATCAAATTCAACTCCTCAACCCAGCCAGGATTCTTCTTCACAAAATCCTCCTCCAACAAATCCTTCCCAGTTTTAATATCCTGCTCAGTCATCGGCAGCCTACATTGCTCTGGTATCTTATACTTATCCAAATCACTAGGCCTAATCCCCAGCCACTTAATATCTGGTGTTGTTAAATTCGCGCTATCATACGACATATTCTTAGACCCACAGCCATAAACTGATAAAATCTTTAAACCATATGGATCACTATCAACTAAAGCTAAAACAGGTAACTTCAACTCCGTCTTCATCTTCCTCAAGAACAACCTTGTTGCCACATCAGGCTGGCCCTTGGCAGTAACAATAATACAAGGAAATCGATTGTAAAATCTATCTTCAGCTAACCTAATATAAGCAGCATCTTTCTCAACTAAAAGTATAAACAGTGCATCACTTTGCATGTCACCAACTCGATCAATATTCGGAGGAATTGCTTTACCTCCCATTCCCATTTTGGTACAATCAATCATGTCGCCATTATCGCTGAAAATAAGTCTTCCAACGACCACGCCTTTCTCCGAGGCAATGACGTTGAGGCTGGAGCGCGTGCAGCCCAGCATACACGCCACGTCATCCAAAACGGTATCGGATTGGGTCTGGTCTTGGAAGAGCTTGACGTCCGTGTAGAAGAGATCTCGCTTAGTGACGTGGATGCTCTTCAAGCAGAGTTGGTGAATAAGCGAGAGGATTTTGACGGTGATGGTGGACTTCCGTACGGATGACACATGTGCGAAGGGACGTTGGGTAGATTTGTCTTTCAAAACGATGCGGTCGAGTTCGGGGACGTAGAGCTGGTTGGTGGAGGCGCGTGAGGGGACTTGGAAGGAGAAACCGTTACCGGATACAATGGAGTGAGCTACTTGGAGGATTAGGGTTTCGATCGCCGATTGGACGGAGGAGAGAGAGAGGTCGGCGACTTCGCGACAAGTGGCGGAGAGATTAAGGTCCGAAAGAGTTAAAGGTTTGGATGAAGAGGTGGAGGCGGAGGCGGAGTCGGAGACTGCGTTATGGGCCTCCACAAGTTGTTTGAGGGTTTCGAGAAGTTCAGAGTCGGGCCTCAAGATGTCCTTGAAGGGGAGTACGGCTTCGTCGTCCGACGACGGGTCGCGTCGCCGTCGTTTTTGTTTCTTTTTCTTGTCGGCCATTTGGCGAGCAATGAAGTGCAATCCTTCGTTAGGGCAAATCAAGTAGTGAGCTCTGACAGTGTGACATGAAAATTCATTTGCTGTGGCACAAATTCAGAAACGACATCGTTTATTTGCAGGATTCTTTGTTTTTGGCGGGATGGAGCTAAACAATTCCCCGCTGTTTTAGGCTGTATCTTTCTTTCTTTCTGTAAATTAATAAACTTGTTAACATATATTAACTAAAGTACATCAACTTTTCTGTTACGAGATTTTCTTAATTCATTAACATTCTATACACATTTAAATGCTGTGGATACTAAGAGGGTGGTCACGGGACGATAATTTTAGGGTTTCTAAAATTAGTTAAAGTGCACATAAACTGGTCCCAACACCAACAGTCATAAAAAAAAATAATAATAATAACAATATAAATTGAAAATGGTTTGCACAAAGATTAGTAACAAGTAATTGATACATTATGTTCTGGACATATCAACTGAATAACAAATTAATGCATGCATTTAGAACAAATGTCAGTAACTAATAAAACAAGAGTTAGATTTCTAAAAAAATGTAGTTCTATCAACACATTATACAACATATGGGTAAATGCTGCTTTCCTAACCTATAAACAAAATAATTTCCACCCTACGGGGTGGTGATATATACGTTAGATCTTTATAAAACATTAGTATAAATTGAAAATTATATATACATTATTATCGACCTGACAGTCTCAAATTCTTCCTATATATGATGATACCAGAGAGTGACCCGACAATTACCACAAGGATGGACTAGTTCTTCACACACAACATGCTTTCAATATATCTTCAATATCTGGATCATCCCCTGCTTCATTATCCTGCTTGAGAATAAATTTAATATAATATTGGAAAAGTAAATCGGATTATAGTTAAAAGAAATTAAACTTGAAACAGAAATAGTGTTATAGGGAAAAAAAATGGAACAATCTAATGACAATAAGCGGTCCAAGGGAGTCAAAGTTTCCAATGTTAGCCAAAATATTCAATCCAATGATCTATCAATGGATATGTATATTATAAGATGACTTTTTTAACTACTGTAAAAGGGGTTGGAGCATTGAAGCTTCAAATTCTATGCGGTTAGATTAAGGGGAAAAATTATGATCATTCTTTCTATTTCAAGACAGTCGAGGAAGAAGTGGAATTTTTAGAGAACTGACCTTGTGTATGTACAAGATGTTACTTTTACCAGGTCCTGCAACTATAATTCCTCCTTGCCTCCTGAGAGAAGACAAATTTCACACATCAAGATCTTCAGTGAATGTAATTATTAGAGATTTAAAAAACAAAAGCAGAATCACATGATCAGGATATCAGAGTGCATCAATTTGACTTACAAATGGGGGCTATGGCAGTCCCTGTATTTGTAATACATCCATGTCAAGTTTTCAACTTAACTAATGAAATATGAAATGGCTGGTTTCATGTTGCATGTACTTATAAAGATTCATATTTCGATAGAAATTCCATATAAATCATCCATGAAGTTAAGTAGCTCAAGCATATGCTTTTCAACAAAGGCAACAGATGCGCTGACTTTTTAGCAAATCTCAGTTTAAACTTTGATACTGGACTATACATCCTACAGTCTGAACCTTCTGGTATCAATAGACTCCTTAGGAGTGATGCTTAAGGGATGTTTTCATCCCAGTTCCTCAGCTTGGAAGCTGCTTCTTTGCTGTAGTTGTTTGTCTGGGCTTAGGCTCCATTTTTTCATCAAAAAAAAAAAAAACACACAAAAATTGAAGTTAAAATCAAGCAATTATCTATATGTTTAGGCTATTTTGATTTGCTGAAGCACATGCCAAATAATTTGAGCAGTTTATATGCACTACAGATGCTCCTAATGGATGATCTAAAACTTGTCCAGTCAACTAAATTTATTACTGGTTAGAAAGCTGTTCTTTGTTTGAGAGCTAACAAAGTCCTGTTCCGTATCTGTGGTAGATCCAAATCAACAATGAGCAGAAATAATGGAAGTTCCATTAAATAATGACTAAGAAACTTCTCCTTCAGGAGCTTACAACTTTGAGACCTCCACAAATAATGCATTATAGTATCTAAAACAAATGGGTCACATACCAGCCACCTCTGCTAATAGTATCCTTTTCAAATGAAAGCTTCCAGTCTTGTCGATAACCCTCCATGTATAATTGTATTATCTTAAGACCTGCCTAATGAATTATGAAAGCAACAAATAAGAAATTCTATGCTGAATTATAACATCTAATAACACAAACATCCACAAACAAGCTACATTGAGTCATATGGAATTCTCTTACATACTTTGGGAGTAAACGTGGTTGAAACCCCAGATACAAATCTTAAAGCATTATATGATGAGTGACTTGGATCTGCATAAATTTCTGAGACAAACAACAGGTTTGTTATTGGCCTGCAATATGATGAAAGCAATATGGCTGAAAGACATTTTTGGCAAGGCAAATCAATTGATGGGTGACTGTCAAAAACCCAATGACCCATAGTTTAAAGTAAGGAAGAAGAGCCTCCCTCAAAATGTAAATCTCTTAGCCATCAAATAAATCTAAACCATTGATGACTTGTAACCCACTCATTAAGAGGCATACCTCCTTTGAAATTTGTTTGCTCAGAAAATGTTCTTGCCTACATAAAATTACAGCTGATGGTCATAACAGATATACAATTAAAACAATCAACTTATTCAAAGAATGCCATATATGTTTCTAATGAAGCACAAAAAATAGAAAATAAGACTAAAATTATTCAAGTGCGCTTCTGTTCTTACACAGCCAAAAAAGGGTCTTCTGTTGTACACTTATTTAGAGCATACGCAATGAATGCTCATAGAACCAAGTGAATTCTACATCAATTTATTCCATTGATTTCAGACGGAAATGAATAAAGAACTCAACTAATTGAAGAGAGTTTAAACATCAAATCAGACAGACCTCAACAGTTGCCTTGTCCTTGAATTATAATGCTTTAATTCCCCTTAATAAACCTATCATAGCTTACCAACTCCATATGCATTTTAAAAACGTACCTGTTCAACGCTACCAGGTCCAATTAAAACAAGAGCCACGCCAGACGCATCCATTACATCCTATCAAACATTTGAACAATAGCATTGAAAAGTATACATCTTCCATTTTTCATTTGCAAGCAATTATTCAAATTCAGAAATAAAACTAAAAGTATCCTTCCTCTTCATAGACCTATCTCATCCCCCAAGGTAGGCAAGACATGCTCAAGAATAGGTTGGCCTTTCCACATTGATCAGGAAGCAAAGTAATAAACCCACAGTGTGAAGATATCACCCATCAAAATGTCAGTAATTTTTTTTTGGGTAATTTGTGAAGGTTAATAATACTTCTACACACATGCAGCTCACCTAGGTTGAAGCACAAATATTATCAATAACACATATTATGAAATAACAATTCAATATACATGAGGAGAACTTTTTTTTTTACATTTTTGTTAAAGAAAATTAAAATAATTTTATACAACTTCTAATCTCTCTCACTGTGAATGGTTTAAGATATTTGTATTCAACCAAAACCATTCCTATAATATGATTAATATGTTGTATGAATGGAATTTAAAAAACTTCTTACCTTCTTCGAGGCAAGATAATCCGCTCGCTTACGGCAAAGTACGCATCTGAAAGTAAATGGTTTTTGAAAAAAGAAAGTACAAAAATTGTTTCACAGAACTCCTATACTAGATAAATTAAACGCATGTCAAGGAAAGTGAATCATGTGATCACCCGAAGTGACGAGCAAATGCCACAACTGCTTTTCGATCTTTCCACAAATCGGATACCGAAATTTCGTTTCCATTCAAATCAAAAACTTTCACACTGTCCAATGAATTAACGGTTTCTTCGGCCACTGAACCAGAAGCTTCAATTCCTGTTCACAAAACAAACATGAGAAGAAAAAAAAAGAAGGAAAATAGAAGAAGAGAAAATTATTACTTGCCTGGAGAATTAGAGATTGCAGAGGCAGCGATGAGCCGACGTGGCCGTGCGTGAGTGGAATTGGTCGGTGAGAAGCGGAGGATTTGGAGGTTTGGTGATTGGTTCGGGAATGCACGTGTCGAGAAACGATTGGTGCAGGTGTTGAGTTGGAAAGTGTTGGACGAGAGAGAAATCGCCATGACAGAGTCTGAGTGAGAACTGAGAAGGTAAACGGAGAAGTGAAGCCGGAGCTGGTTAATATGCTCATGCCACCGTTAATTCTTTTGTGGGAGGTGAGACGAACACGTGGCAGACGCTGAACACTTATGACTACGTTGTAGGTCGCACCTTACTTTCTTGTGAGGATGACTCCATGGGATTGATAAAAACTAACGTAACAAACATTTTTACGAATAAAAAAAAATTAATTTTTTATTTTTAAACTATTAGATACAAACCAAACTTCCTAAACCAAACTTCCAAATTTATCATTCCGGTCATAATTTTCATACTTTTTATTAAATAAACCCTCAAATATTGAAAATGGTATTATGGATACCCCTTTCCAGTAACGGTGGACCCTCAAAATTTAAAAATTTTATCATAGATACCCATTTTTATAAAATAATCAACTATTATATGAGTAACCGCAAACAATAAATCTATTGAATATAAAAAATAATATAATTAAATGTCAACAAAATAAAATAACAATACAATAAAATTAACAATATTAATAACGTGATCATGTGTAAGAGATCTTTTAGAATGATAGAAGAGATCTGATAAAAAATACAACTTTAGGATGAATGGCGAGGCATGTATAATACACAGTTTTCTTAAAATAAATTCATATCCTTTACTCAGGTGCACAAGGATTTGAACAGCGTCTGTTTCTTAGGATACAACGAAAGACGAATAGCAAAAGAAGCACCACTCTTCTATTCTAACGAACTGAATTAAGTTTTAACTATAACAAAAGAAAACCTTAAAAACTAGAGAGAAAATGAGAGATTGAAATTTTTTTGGTGTGTTTGAAATGAGAAGAAGAACACCGTTTTTATACTATTCAATGTGGGCAAAACATTGAATTCCACCATTATTTTCCACCTTTTCACTTTTCAATTCTTAAAACTTCCTTCATTAATCCATTAACCTCTCATCTTTCAAATTTTCAACCTACATCACCACATCTTATTTCATTCAATTTAATAATAAATTCCAACACCCATTTACTCAGTTTTTGTCATGTTGCGCTTGCAAATCAATTTATTACAAAAACAAAGTTACCATTTTATCCTAACACTATCTTATAAAACCATTGTTATTATTTCACTCATCTATTTCAAATGATAACATAACGAAATTAGAGTAAAGAGATATCCATGATATAATTTTAAAACTTTAAGAGTCTATTTAATAAAAAGTGTGAAAGTTGTCATCTAAATGATAAATTTGAAAGCTCTCTACCAAGTATATCAATATGATAAAAATATTATATTAATATTTAAAAAAGATGACAATTTAGTAATCTATATAACATACCTATTAATTTATTCCTCGTAACCAAATATATCAATATAACATATCCATCAATTTATTATAACCTAATCAAACACATTTCCTTAATCCATTTCTAATTATGACTAAAATAGATTGGGGTTATTTAATTCATAATAATCCTTCTTTAAAATACATTAAGGAACGATAGAATTAACAAAAAATATATATATTTATTAATTGTCTTAAGATCATTGAACCACAATATTTTTTTTTTTTTAAGGGTTTAGGATTAAGTGTTGGTTAAGAAATTATATACATTGTTCTTTATCATATTAGACTTTGAAAAATCACTATATTAATTCATAGAGGATATTTACCCGTTCAAATATATGGTAATATATATGACTTGAACTTTATATTGTAACCGTTTGATCAATAGAAAATCAACTTATCACAGTAAATTGGGAGATTTTCAAAACTACCCCTCACTTTTTGCTAATCACTTATGGCACCTTTTTTTAGAAATAGTTAAAAAAACCACCTTGAACCCTAACGACATCCATTTGTTAAGTTGCAAGTTGAAATTTACATAAAATTACTATTTTATCATTGCTTTCCTTATATTTGAAATTGTGTGCTATTTCCAATAATTCAAACCAACACTTCTAAGAATTTAATTTAAACTCTAACCAAAGTTATATTAATATATTTGTAAACTTATTATACAATCATAAAAAATTAAAATAAAATAAATAAAGGTATCGTTTACGCATATAACTAATTGGTTGATTAGTGAACTAATGATGAATTAAATTTTAATTCAATTGGGAGGAAAATATTTTTAACATATTTAATGAGTGAGGGTAAAATGAATTTTTATAATAAAATTTAACTTGCAAGTTAAAGGAATTGGATGAGTTTGGTTAGGGTTAATTTTTACTATTTCCCACAAAAGTGCATAAGTTTTTATCATTAGCAAAAGTAAGGAGGCTGGAAATCTCTCCTCTAAATTTATCAAGTGTCAACTTTAATACACGAAAAGTTGTGGTGAATTTCAAAAAATTTAAATATAATTTTCAGAGATATAAATAGTTTTCGAATATAATTAGACCGCTTGAAATTTTGATGATCTTCTAGACCTAGAATTAACCTCGTAAAGGTCATCAATTATTTGTTTTTTTCCAAAATATATTTAAAAGTATTAAAGAAGGGTCAAATAAGTTAAAGTTTCCAGCCAAAATTTTGTGTTAGAAAACCCTAATCCATTTCTAATTAATTCATTTTTTAGTAGTTATGTTATGGAATATTTAGAAGCTCTGACTATATATCACTCCATTTTTATATTATTTTGTTAATTAAAAAAAATACATGTATCGAATCTTGTTATAAAAAAATTAATTTCAGTTTAAAATCACCCAACGTTTTTACATGTATGTGAATATTGGCTCTTTTATTGTTTGATAATAAGGTATCAAGCCCGCTATACGCACTTCAAGTAATTTTCGGGTTCTATTAAACACTCTACAACAATAGGTTATGTAAGTCACAATGTACAAGCCTAATAGGTTAATAATTCACAAATGTGGTAACTGGTAAATGGCCACAAACATAGAACCTCTGGGTAACACTCTAGATGGTTTAATTCTTGTCATCTAGTCACAAACCAAGTGTTAATATTGATTTCATGTGTGGTATAATTTATCAAATTGATCCTTGCTTGCATAGTAAATACAGGACATAATAAGTACAGTAAAACCTCTCTCTAGTCATAATGTTGGGATCAAACTAATTTACTACTATAGAATGTTATAACTTAATAGAGGTTTAGTTACAAAAAAACTATTTTGATTTTTTATTTTATAATTCATGTTAGTAGTATATATTAGGACTTCAATTAATTATTTTAGTAGTATTAGGATTTCTTATTTACTTTATATTACTGTTTCTTATTTTATAATTTATGTTTTGGTAGTATTAGGATTTCAATAATTGGTTTGGTAGTATTAGGATTTCATTTACTTTTAATATACTTGATTTCTATTTTAAAATTCATGTTGTGTAGTACCAGGATTTTAATTCAGTTTTAGTATTAGTAGGATTTCAATTCATTATTTTAGTAGTAGTATTAAGATTTCTTATTTACTTATTTTAGTAGAAATTATGATTAGCCTGCTATAAATAGGGTTGTTTGTTTCAACTTATCAATCAAGTTTTCAATAAAATCTTCCACCAATTCAAGTGATACCTTTCTTCTTCCTCTAGCAAATCAATCATGCCACCCAAAGTTATACACGAACTCAATTGACCGAAAGTATTCATGTTGAGTTGTGAAAATGAAAGAATCAAACCCTACTTGGAAGCAAAAAGATCTTTGAAGTGGTTAGAAGATACTCATGGTGTTCAGGTATCACAAGCAGCAATATCTAAGATACTCAAATGATCAATTAACCTCCTTCAAGAAGAAGGTTGTTGAACACAGAAACAAAAAGTTCAAAGATGGTAAAGTACCCAGCAATGGAGTATGCCCTCTATGAATGGTTTGTATGTCATCAAGAGCATGTCAATATGAATGGTGAATTGTTAAAAGAGAAGGGAAATAATTTTCTAAGGAAACTCATCCCGAAACTACCTCGTTTGAATTTTCAAATGGATGGTTGAAAAAGTTCAAGCAACGACATGCAATTCATTCTTTGTCGTTTTGGGGAAAGGTTTCAGTAATATGGAGAAAATTGAAGCTAGTTTGCCATCAATAAGAGAGGAATTAGACAAATGGGCTTGGAGGACATTTATAATATGGATGAAACTGGCTTATTTATCGAATGCAAGTCGATAACTCTATTGCAACAAAGTAGTTGGAGGGCCGAAGCAAAATAAAGAGAGGATTACAATTGTTATTTGTGCAATGGCGATGGCTGACAAACTTCCGCTTTGGGTCATCAGTAAGTTTCTTAATCCAAGATGCTTTAATAATGTTAACCATGATAATCTCAATTGCAAGTATCGAGCGAATTCAAATGCAGGATGACATCTTTGTTTTTTATGGAATGGCGTAAGTGTTTGATAGCTGTTTGGGTAGAAATGTCTTGCTTAGAGGTGGAAAAGCAACTGGCCCGACCCGACTGCGGAGGGTTGTTTTAATGGCGGGTCAGTCCTGACCTGCCGGTAACATGGGCGGCCGGGTTAGGCCTGCAATGTTAGGGAATTGGCTGGCCCAACCCGGAACACCAACCCTAACCCGCGAGTTAGGCCGTGGGTTGGGCCAGGTTAACCCGCTTTTTGATTTTGATTTTGATTTTTTTTATTTTGTTTTGTTTTATTTTGTTTAAGTTTAAATGTTTAATTAACTTTTCAAATGAATAATTAACAATTATAAATGAATAAATGTAATTGTTTTTAGTTATTGTTAATTTCTTTTCAAATATCAATAATTAAATTAAATAATTTTTTTTTTGTTAACATTCCAAATATAATTCAATTTTAAACATTAAAATTGTAATATAAGAATAATTAAATTATTCATTTATTAAAAAAAAAATAAGAATATAATAATTATTGCCACGTTAAAAACCTCACCAAGAAAAACCCAATAGGACAAAGATTGGTAAGAAAAAAAGAGTGCAATAATTGACAATAATTTACAAAACAACTAATTTTGGGTTCACTAGGACCTCCTCATTCGTATCATCTTATATACAAAATTGAAATGATTCTATAAAGTATCGTCGACAACCTCATATGACCTTGATGACGCGACATTTCCCAATCTCGAAGACATGTGAGGACTTCAATCATTTGTGTGAAAG